CAGAGTGAGAGAGGAGAGAAGAGGAAAATGCATTAAATAAAAAAATACACACACATAGAGACAGGCAGGAGGGGGAGGGGCAAAACACAGGCATATCAAAATTATAATCAGCGCCACACAAAAGAAACACGGCGCGCCTGAAATTAGCTACGTGTGATGATGCGACGAGGGAGGAGGGGACTGGTAGAAGGGGTAGGTTGTGGGGGGGGGGGGGGGTGACAACAACAAGCCGTACAACAAACGTTGGCGCCTGTGCAGCTTTTGGACTCTGTCGGGGATTTCTCTAACAAAAACATACAAAATACAAAAAAGAAAATGAAGAAAAAAACAAAGTGAAAACACAACATGAGAAATATTTTCATAATACTAATTGCATCGTCACAATGTCATTTTCAGCAAGCGGGCAGGGCGGACAGACGAAGAGTGGGAGCGAGAGGGAGTGAGAGAGAGAGAGAGAGAGAGAGAGGTAGACAGAGCTGCCCATGGCGTCTGTCTGTCTGTCAGGATGCAACGTTGACGAACAGGACGAGAACGAGATGAGTTGAGTTGAGCTGAGAAGAGAAGAGATGAAACTGAATTTATGCTAAAATGCAGCCAAGCAAACGACACAACAATACTAACAAGAAGAAGAACAACAACAACAGCGATGACGACAACCGTTGCTTGAATCCTGGCAGCAAGGACTCGCTTGCCAGCCTGCCGGCTGACTGCATGCCACAAAAGAAAATGAGTTGGAAAAAAAAGTAATTAAAAAGGGAACCGCACAACAAATGCGGAGCGACTTGCAGCAAACACGATTTCTCCAATACGCTACAAATGTTGCCATCTTGAAATACCGCCACAAATAGCAATTAGCATTTGGCATAAATTCTGTAAAAATACTTTGTTTATTTTAGGTTAAAGTTATGCAATTCTACGTTTTTTTTTTTTAATTTTTATCTATTTTTCGGTTAAAATCAGCTAAGATTTTAAATATAATTTTTGTAAATTATTTTGAAAAATATGTTGAGTTTTGTAATTAGTCGCAACAGATGCAACAATTTGTAGCGCAAAATTTCAGTTGTGTTGGGGCCTGTCAGCCAGTGTGGCAGTCAGTCAGCTCAGAAAGGGGGGGAAGCGGGTAAGAAAAATTCAAATGCATTAACACAGCGTAACAATGTGGGCAAATGTTAACATTGAGCGCTAATTTGCCACATGCCGTTGCAGTTGCAGTTGCTGTTGCACTTACGTCGCCTCGCCAGATAACATGCATATGTGCAGAGGCCCGCAAAACATATTCACATCCGAATGGAGGAGAGTGAGGTATAAGGCGAGCGGCGGATGAGCAACAGAAGATGACAGATGACAGAAGTCCTGGCCATTTAAATTGACACTGCCGTGGAAATGACAGAAAAGGAGCAGACAGGGATTTTACTTAGTGTTTAAGTAGAGTGATCATCTTTGATCGTTCAGTTCTGCTCAGTTTTATTAATTTTATATTTACATCTGTGATTTTTTTGTCTTTGTTTCGATATAACTTAGCCAATGCGTAAAGCAGAGTTTAGGGATCGAATGACTATTTGATATATAAAACGCACAGAGAGCGCAGTGATATGAAGATAAACCATAAGCCTACCTAGATGTAATTATATAATAATTACCTTTTGTGAATTGTATATGTAATATTTAAATTATTCGTATACAAATGTGCATTTCACTTGCATTCAAATCCTATTTAATATTCAAATTATATGTATAAAAAGCCAAATTTCATTTACATTCAAATACCTATTAAACAATTGCGGCTTGCTATGAATAAGTCTTACAGCGATCAGCGCAATAAATCTGCACTTAAGTTAAGAGCTCATACAAAATAGTCTATAGATAGTAAGATATTTGCTTTTTCAATACAAATCTAGTCCGTATTTACTCAACCCAATGCAAAAAACAACACAGCCCCAAAAGTATGCAATGGATAATATGCAGCAGAGAAGACGCCATTTTGCTTCAACCTACTAGCGATGTGTGTGTGTGTGTGTGTGTGTGTGTGTGCTCACGTGCTGAAAACTTATTTAATCAAAATTCAGCAAGAACAACCACAACAACAAAAGGGGCGCGCTAAAATAAATAATTAACAGCAAAATGAAGTTGCATGTGGAAGCGAGATAGGAAAACTCAAAGCAGTGCACTCGCTCACACACATCCACACGCACACAGAGGCACTTGTAGCCTGTGAAAGACCAATGAGCGCGACAAAACAATGGACACACACACACACACACACACACACGCGAGCATACACACAGATTAGCATAACAGAGAAAAAGACGCCAGCTCCACAAATGCTTGTTTCGATGCTCAGGTGAAATGCGCGTTGCCATAATGAATTCCAGTTGCAACAGCAGTAACAACAACAACAACAACAACGACAACGACAACAGCATCAAATTACAAAATTAAAAATGGCGGGCGAGGAGTGGAGCAGCTTTGGGGAGAAGGCAAAGACAAAAGGCAAACACGAAATCATTTTCATAATTTCAATGAGACGCTGTCAACACTGACGTTCATCTCGTTGGTCAACCCTACATACACACACACACACACACACACACATACACACACACACAAGCAGACAGCTGTGCTCGTTTATGATTGGCTTCGGCGCAAAAGAAGCAAATGAAATAAAACAACAACAACAACAACGAAAACAAACACGAACATAATAACAGGAGAAGCAGGAAGAGGAAGGAGGTGGGTGGAGCTGCCGCCACGCCTATGCCTCAGTATTAATAAATAAATATAATTTTAGCGCAAGCGCAGGCAAACACAAGCAGCAACAGCGGCAACAACAACAATGCAGCAACGAAAACAATGCATGTAAATGAGAAAATTACATCCCTTCATTTGTTTGCCACACACACACACACACATGCACATGTGCATGTGCATTGTTGTTATTGTTGTATTCGTTGTATGCGGCTCGGCTGCCAGGTGGCATCAGCTGTGGTGGCAACCTCATTTTAAATGCGCCTTTGCCATCGCCCGTCCCCCTCACCCACACAAGCGAACAACTACAAAACTCACTCTCTCCCTCTCCCTCCGTCTCACTCACCCTCCATTTCTCTATCTCTCACTGTCTCTCTCTCTCTCTCTCTCTCGTTCTCTCTCTCTCTCTCTCTCTCTCTCTTTGTTTCTGTCTCCCTCTCTATACATGTATGCATGTTTGTGTGCGGGAACGGGATGTTGCCTTATTGTTTAGCTGGCGACGTTGGTGCTGTTTCTACTACTGCTGCTAAGTGATTTGAATTTTATTATTCACAGGTGCATCACACACACACACACACACACACATATGCATGTATGAATGTATGTGTGCATATATGCATGTGGGCAATTCAGAGAGTGGTGAACAGTGGAACGAGAGCGATTCAAACGACATATGTGAACTGAGCTTGAGCATCAAATTGAAATTGCTTAGGGGTGTTTTTTCAATGTATATATGTATATGTATTGATATGAATATTATCAATGGCTATACATTTATAAAAATATTAGCTGTATAACTAAAAATAATAATATGAAGTATGAATACTAGATTCTATCAAAATGTGTCTTATTTAATCCAGCACATTATGAAAATATGAAGTGAGCATAATTTTTAACCGAAAATCTCTATAAACACAATTTAAACCTAGAACTGTTAATTAGTCTTTAAGCTTCAACGAAACAACTAGATTTATTTTTATTGTTAGATTATTGTATTGGTAACCGAAGAAATACAAAAAAAAAAAACATTTCATCAATTTAATACCACAGCATTACGAAGCTAATGAAATAATATAATAATAATATTATTATTTGTGTATATGATAATATTATCACCAAGCTTACAAGTCAAATTTAATAAAAGTGTCAATTGGCACCTGTATTTTGCATACTCAAATAATTGCATACTTTTCAGCAGTATTCATACCACGGTATGGCTTGTAGTCTGCCTAACTGCCAGAGTCCCGTTAAGGCAAAACAGCGCTTATGAGGTTTTTGTGCTTGTGCCGTAATTTAACGAAGTCAAAACGAGAAAACAATAAAAGCCGACGCAGCCAGCAAAACAACAACAACAACAGCGAAAACAACATGGCATGTGTCTGTGTGTTAGTGTTGGTGTAAGCGGAGAGTGTGCTCATTAAAAGCCGAGCACTTAGTGCTATGTGTGTGCTTGTGTGTCTGTGTGTGTATTGTTGTGTGTTATATTTGTTTATGTTTTCACAACGAATGAGCGAGCGGAACGAACGGAGGCTGCGCGCGCTCCTTGCTGCCACCTGCCATTCTAAGTGGTTGCCGAGACGAGAGCGAGACGGCGAACGGCGAATTCAGCGAGGCAGAGCAAGCGTACGAGCGAGTGCGAGTGCTACAGAGACTGAAAGCGAAAGAGAGAGCGAGAGCGAGAGAAAGAGAGAGAGAGAGAGAGAGGGAGAGGGAGAGGGAGAGAGAGATTGAGGTGCTCTCAAAGCATATTAATCATATTTATGTTAAAGAAACAAGCTAATATATTTTTGCTAATCCACATTTCAAGCGATTGCCTAAAAGCAAGCAACATTTTTAGTTTTTGTGTGTTTTTTCTTATCCATTTGCGAGTATTAATTAGCAAAAAGTTTGCAATGTGTTGCATTGTGTTGTAATTATTATGCCACAAGGCACACGAGCACATTCGTACAAACGCAACGAGTCGCAGGCGCAGCCACAGACACACACACACACACACACACCACACACAGACACACATAGAGTTGGCTGAGGCAGCGATTATGCATAAAAGCCAAAGGACGCTGCCTGCATTTCCGCAGTCGCTGGCCAAACGCGCCATTCGAAAGTCAACGTTTTTTTGTTGTTGTGTCTATGTGTGTGTGTGTGGATATAGCGCCATCTAGCGTGCGGTCTTCATAATTATTTTATATGCGCATTGTTTTTTTTTTGTTGACTCTGCTCTTGTGATTGACTGATTGATTGATTGATTGATTAGCGAGCAAACAGTGAACGGAAAATAAAATAAATAAAAAGTGTTTGAATCGAGTGGCAAATATTGATTTGATGGCGGGGCCATTTATATCGCCGCTGCCGGGCGATCTGCTCACGGAGTACATGTTCGGCAGGCGGCGGCAACGACGCAATCGGACCACATTCACGCCACAGCAGCTGCAGGAACTGGAGGCACTCTTCCAGAAGACCCACTATCCGGACGTCTTCCTGCGCGAGGAAGTCGCCCTGCGCATCAGCCTAAGCGAGGCGCGCGTCCAGGTGAATCACGTGGCAGCCAAGCACCAGCTAGATGTGTCTCAGAATTTGGATAGTTTAGTGGCTAATCGAAGGCAAAAAATAATCAGCGCTCTATCCCGTATAGTATCTCCCTAATGCTCCATGAAAAACCATATTCAAATAGACAAAAATTTACATATTTTTTACTTATTATCAAGTGTACCAAAGCCGTACACTGAACATTATTTCTGACAGATAACCCTTCTTTTTTTTATATGATTTTAAAGATAATTAAATTAACTTTCCAAAAAGTTGAATCCGTATGAAAAGCTTCGGGAAAATGCTTGATATTTTCTTGATTGATTGTTTCTTTGGTTGTATAACTTTGGTACACTTAAAAATATAAAAATTATCTAAGAAAAAAACAATACATTTTTGTCCCTTTTGGATAGCAATATTACTCTTAAGCAAACAGATTCAGCAACTTTAATAATATTTTCACAATGAATTTTCTTTCCGTTTACATTTTTTTTTGTACTTAACAAAATTAAAAATCCACTTAATGTCTTTTAAAAAGTTTATATTATATTTTTACTTAGGATATAGAATTTTTCTCATAAAACTCTTCAAATTTGATAATATTTATAATTTCTATACCCAAAAAACAGATATTTTGGCACCATATTTAACATAACTATTTTTTGAGAATCAATTCAATTAAAACAAAAAAACTGAAATTGCATTTATTTGATCGGCCAACGATCTATGTGGGGGTAAATAAGCTATACATGAGTTATATCAAAGAGTAGCAGACAAAAAATGAATAATTATTTTGCGGTGAGGTTCCACCATTTTTGATGCACATGTCGAGCTGTGTAACTACAATATATATATACAGCTGCGGTCAAAATAATAGAAGTGCACACACATATTTTGGAAAATGTTAAACAAGTAACTTAAAATATAGTTAAAAAAGTCAAAGTCAAAGTTGGCATAGTTGTTCAATTTATTAGGAAACAAATTTAAAGTCCTTAAATATACTATTTTTATATTCATTTTTATTAAATTACTATTTAAATGTATCAATATAATTGTAGTGGAGTAATAGTGGAGTCTTCTCAGCTTTTCCTGTGGCTAAATAATATTTCTAAAAACTATATATGATGGATGGTTATATTTTATTACGTTTAGTATTTGGAAATACACATTTTTTGTTTTGCAGAATAGAATTTCGAGTCATTTTGAAGATTTTGAAGAGGTCTCGATTTGATCATCATAAAATAAGTCATATTCTTACTGAAAGCATTGTGAAGCAGCACTATATGTATATATATATATATATATATACATAATTAAGTTGAGATATGAGCAAGCATATGAATATATATAATTTAGTTGAGATATGAGCAAGCAGTTGTTCGAATGCTTTAATTAGACAATTTGTTAGTGATTTGCGTAAGCAGTTTTTGACTTGGATACTTCTGTGTTTCAGGTGTGGTTTCAGAATCGTCGCGCCAAGTGGCGCAAACAGGCGCGTCTCCAGCTGCTGCAGGATGCTTGGCGGATGCGTTGCCTCAGTCTGGGAACGCCGCCCGTCATAGCCGGAGGCGGTGCGAACAGGCCAGCCAATAATGGTACAGCCAGCAATGGAAACAATCAAATGCCTGAAAATCTATCGGCGGGCAGTACAACGGCTAGCAAAGAATCATTGATCAACGATGGAGCCGTCAACGATGCTGTGCCGCTGGCTAATGGACAAAGCGCAACAAATTTTACAATGATGCATCCGGCATTCCAGCATCAACAGCAGCAGCAGCATCCGCAGTCCGAGCACGAGAAGCTGTCAAAAACCTACACAGAACTGAAACTGTATAAGGAGTCGACGGCGCATGGCGTCACCCAACTGGATCTGGGCGGAATGACTGCACTTGGCCATAACTCTGACGAGGGTTCCGATGGGTCGGATTCCGAGGAAATTGATCTAACCTCGGGTGCCTGCATCGATTTCTCACAGAGCACCAAACTGCAACAGCAGCAGCAACAGCAACAACAACAGCAGACTTCAAATGGAGTGCACTAGGCCGATACGTGTCTATATATGGTGTATATATATAAGGAGACGGAATGATTTATGCATGTGATGTGTATTGATTGCATTGCCCTTTATATTTGCCTCTTTGTTTTTTGTTTTTTGGTTTCAAATACAGACACAATTCAAACATAAAACTTAGACTTGCGTAACGGTTTTTTTGTTGTTGTATTTTTTAATATTTGAATTTAAATGTGCGCGCGTTCGTGTTTGTATCGAGATATCGATTAACTGCTAGCAGTGTGGTCGCTGTCATCAGGACTTAAATTAAATTCTGTTCGCATTCTCTGGTCACATTGTTAATTTCACTCAAACGAAACGGAATTTATAAATTTAAATTTCATGGGAATAGGGGAAAAAAGACTATAAACACATGAGACATATTGATTTGAGTTTGCCGCCGATAAAGCATTTAGTATACCATAATGATTCTATTATGCTAACCATCTATCTAAAAAAAATGTGCGAGCTCGCAATTTGAGAAAAATATCCATCATTTTCGTTTCCGGGCTGTATCGCCCGGAACAGCGCTCTCACTACTCACGACGTGCCAAGCGTTCAGGGTTGTGTCACTCGAGAGAGCGCTCTCAATTCTCATGTACACCAAGTCAGTCAGTCCAGTCTCCTGGCAGCAGTCAATGTGTCGTGTTTTGAGGACGGGTGATTCTCTCGTTGACAACATCTGTGGTTATTTGCTATTATTTTAAAATGCCATGTTGCCCAATTTGCCGTATTGCAATCCCGGGGGAAAGAAATTAAAGTAATTCGTGTGTCCAAGGATCCGGATAGAAAGCGACTATGGGAGGAGGCATTAAATTGCGAATTTGGCAACAGCTGCCGGATATGGGAAAAGCTCTTTGAGCCAACCGTTTGGAAGGAAGCCTCAAAGAAATTCAAATCAATCGCAAAGCGACGCCGCCTAATGATCGATGCGATTCCACGACATCTGATGACAGCCGGAAGAGCATCTCAGGAATTGCAGTGCGCATACAGAGTAAGTCCATCAAGTCCTCGACTGTAAATTTTCGATAGCTCAGTTAAGCCTTTATTAATTAAGGTTTTTTTTTTACAAATTATTGTCTTCACGACTATTTTAAGGTATATATATGATTTATATGCATCTTATTGTATGCATTTTATAGTTCGGAAACGATGCAGGGCGACATTCTATTGGAAAACATTCGGATGAGGCAACAAATATCCGCACTGCAGCAGGAAAACTTGCAGTTAAGCCAGAAGTTGGAGGAGATGAATTCACTTGGCAAGATATTCAAGGGAGCGCAGTTGATCAGTTGAAGTGTGGCGAGAAGGCGACGAAGTACTGGAACTCGGAGGACATATCTTATGGGATTTGTCTACACGCAGCTGGTCCACGCGCATGCCTGGAAGCAATTCGTTTATTTCAGTGAGGAGTCGAGACAATCAAGCCAATTCGAACTAAACTCTACAAGTGGGATACCCAATTATGGCAATAGTCGGCGACATGGCTCCAGTTATCTCCGACAGTAAGTAAACCACTCATACGTGGAAAAATAAAAATATATTTTTTCAGACAGGAAAAACGAGGACAGCCAAATTATGTGGACACAACTAGGTATCTCAGACAGTAAGTAAACAAGTCAGAAAAAAGTATATATCTAAATTGTAATTATATTTTCAGGCAGGATATGGTTTCCACATCAGCGAAGATCACCTAAATGCTGTCAGACAGAAGATCGAATTGACAAAACAATTATTTTTGAAATCAACTGCGTTGCTCCCCTCTGGGATTGGATGTGAAAAATGCCTGCGAGATGGCCGAGTTTTTTGAGTTTGAGCAGTTTAAGTATAAAATACGCAAATATATAATGGGTATGCATAAGTTTTTTGAAAAACAACCGAATTTGTCAGCATTCAATAAATTAACTGCAACAGAAAGCACATTAAATGGGGCACTCTAAACACTTACAAAAAACACAATTATAAATTGTCTTTTTGATTTGCTAATATTTTATTTGTTAAATTTCAACAAATTACAACAAATATCTAAAATGGCGTCATTTAATTCGGTATAGATTTTTTAACATTTTAATATATGAAATAGAGTAGCGCAAACAAAACAAACAATACACTCAACCTAACTATCTATCCCTTTCGCACACACAACGCGAACTGACATCAGCGAGAAGAGAGCAATGCGAATTCAGCAAATTGACACTCTCTTTCGCACTCGCACAATCCAATCGTGCTGTGATGCGAGTTTGGCCATTAAATAGCCAGATCTAGCTTTCAGAAAGCTCTAATTTTAGACAATATTTTCTAAATTGCTGTTTTAGAAATCGTGATGATCTTCTAGATTGATATAAGTATGTATGTAATTTGTATTTGTATAACACTTCGCATTTCTGTTATATGCTACCATATAACATTTATAATGTGTAAAGAAAGCGTTTATTTTTAATGTGGTAACGAAATACAAAGTGAGTATTTTGAACTTTGAGTTATCTTTATCTTATCGTCAACAGTTAACAACAATTCGCAACAGGTGGCAGCTCTGTCAAATCAGCTGCTCCAATTTCTGCGTAAATTGAGATATTGCCCTCCACTGGTTGCACTCATCAAAGGGATCTCATGGAATATGCACGCGATCACAAGCAGGAGCAGGAGGAGCAGGTGGAGCAGGTGGAGGAGGGGCCAACACGCGCCAAACTTCTCGAGCAGCTGAGGAAGGTGAGCAAATGTTTGCTATTATTTGTTGTTGTTTAGTAATCAAATCCGTGCACAGCGCGAATTGTTTGTCCCAAATGCCGAGCAGCTGCCAATGCATCAGTTGCAGCACATTTACAACGGATTCATTGTGCCACAGCCGCGTCGGGAGAGACGTGAGACGCGGCAGCATGAGTTGCCACAGAGATTGGCCGTGGATGCGGCACAGCAGATGCAGTGCATCACGGTTGTCTGCGTGGCCGGCGTGAAGCGACGTGGCCACAACGACCCAGAGCCTCTGCTGCGCCGCAGCTGCAGCAGCGCTGCCAAGCGTCGCCGTATCGAACAGCAGCCATGATCTCTCTGCTGGCGATAAGAAAATTGATACCTTATCAATTGCCAGCACATCTTTGCGGCAAACTGAAACTGCGAAGCCAAATGGGGAAGCGATGCTGCTGCTGCTACTGCTGCCGAACTGAGGTCAACCATGAAGCAATTCTAGTTGCCACAAGCGTCGTCCGCCCGCAGTTGGCAAATATTAATATCATTATTTTGATAATGATGAGATAAAAACAAGCAATGATTAAATTGATAGCCAAAAATCAGATGGGTATAATTGTGGCTTATGACTATCCATCATTAATCCATCAAATCATTAAATGCCAGGAGATACTTAAGACTATGGCTAAGCTATGTCTTAAAAACAAATATTCTATTTTTAATTCTATAATTTCATTTCATTCATATGAAAGAATGTTGTAGTGGTGCTATTATTTTTATTTCGCAATATTTCTGTTTTCTCTTATTTTTATTTGTATTATTCGTCTTATTAAATAATTTATAGTAATCAGAGAATGAATGTAAGTCTTTTTACAAATGCTCTTAACATTAACTATAATAAATGGGTTTTTTGCCACACATAAAAAAAGAACGCATTTTTGGCTTCGACTAGGAAACAGAAATTTCTGAATGGGGCTTATAAAACTAGTGAGTCTTGGGTGATGATGTGAAGGACATGTGTGGTGGTATGATTTACTCCTGGTCCATAAATTCATCGTCATCCTCATCATCGTCAGCATCGCTGTTGTCAATTGGTTGATTGTTGTTGTTGTTGACATTATTGTTTTGCTGTCCGGCGAGCCGATTGTGCCGCATGGGACGCTGTGCCGGGGGAAGCGGTGCATTTGGTCGCTGATTACCGATCCTGGCCGTGATTGGGCGATAGTACATGCTGCAACTGAGATATTCCTCAGCCTCGTCCTCATCGGTGCCGATCATCGACTCCTCAATGGCCCGCGAATAATCCTCGATTTCCTCGTCATACAAATGCGGTGCACCGTTCGCAAAGGTGGCAAAGCGCATCGGATCCCGCAGCGTGCTCATCATATTCCACTGACGGCAATCCGGACTGTTCACATAGTCACGCAGCTCGGCCAGAGATCGGGCCGTCGCATTCACTGACACCTGGTAGTATTCCTCCTGGGTGAGCAGGCGACGTTTGGGCGGAAATCGACGCTTGTAAACGGTGCGTGCGTAATTTATCAGCGAATCGGGACAGTAGAGGGCCAGAAAGGTGCCAGCGAGGATGACACTACAGGCACTGGTGTGCCAGCTACTAAGAAATGCAATTACGGCGCCAATCGCTTGCAGCACCCACTTGATAATGTTCTGGGAGCGTGGATTTTTCGGTGGTCCAATGCGGTAGCAAATTAGAAACGACACCAATCCCGTAATCGCCAAATACCACACAACATAGTCGCGGTATGTGACCAGTATAAGTCGAATATTGTGCACCAACTGTCTGATAATATATAATGCGATTGTCCAACCGCCGATCAGGACGCCGTACATCATCGGACGGCGTGGAAAGAGTTTGGCGGTGATCGCAATGATTACCAGAAATGAGGCACAAATGCCCAACACAATCCCGGCCAGATAATAGAAGACACTGTTCTTCGCCAATTGCCCGGCGCTCCAAATGATGATCAGACCGACGCTCAACTGCACCAGACGCATCCAATCCAATTGGACATGTCTCAAGCCGACGTTGTACGGCTGTTTGGAGGCAATGCCAAGGCATTGCCGCTCAAACGGCGATAGCTGGACCCGCTGGCGTTTCTGTGAGAAGAGCGTGATGCTGAAGAGCGATCGATGTTCACTGTAATGCTGAAGCACCTCCTCTGGCGTCCGGCCATCGTACTGCGAATAGTCATCGTTGGCAATCGAGAGCGTCAGCTCGACCGTCTCGAACAGGCTGATCAATGAACGAGACTTGGCCGGGTAGCAGAAGGTGCGCAGCACATTGCTTCCATACGGATTCGCAGTGATATTAACGGATGTGCCCGGCGCCAAATAAATGGTATCGGTCAGCGCCTGGCCGCAAAATGCCGTCCTCACCGAGACTATAATTACACCTAGTAGTAGGTATTGAATACGCATTTCTTCGAGACTTTTATCAATTGAGTTTGGCCGATAACAAACGACAAACAAATAAACAAATATGCATATAGACAGATACGCGAGAAATACGTACAGCAAGGAACGAGACAATTGAGAGCCGATTCGATTGACCTGTGCAAATTCGCTTTGGTAACTAATTAATCGATGTTTGAGTTTGGGTCATCGATTTCATACATCGCCAAATATTTATTTGTAATTTAAAGTATGCTTTTGACAATATTTCGATTGATGCCTTTGTGCGTATTAAATTCAAGCTCTCGCATTGTTCAATTCTAATTGTGTTTGACCATTTTTGCGGCATTACTTGTAGTATGGAGAAGTATTGATAGTTTATGGAGGCCAGTCGATTAATTTTTGCACATGCATGTTCGATACTATCGCTGCCATTGCAGAATCGATACAACTTTACTTGTATCGAATGCTTGAATTCCGGAATGCGAACGATAGTAATCGATAGTTTGATTGCTTGACATCTCTAAAGAGCGGCACTGGTTACGAGCTGAACGACAGATTCCATAGTATTCTTTATTTTCGCCACACTCCAACTCAATTAAAGGTAAACCAAACTGTGCGCAATTACATTTCCAATTGGAAAACAGGTCAAAATGTTCTAGTGCATTTGTGTTTGTTTTTGCTGTTTGCGTTTGGTTAATTCTTGTCGCCTGCCCCAGTCTAACCTACAAAGTTACATAATTTTTATATGTTTAAAATGTTATCAATACGATTTTCGATTTGTAATTTAAGATTTGCATTTGCATATTTTGTCCCCCGTCTTTTTTTGCACAGAACAGAATGTCGTTCGTGAAAAATGCTCGTCTGCTGGCCGCGCGCGGCTCACGCCTGGCCCAAAAACGCTCCTATTCGGACGACATGAAGCTGACCTTCGCTGCTGCCAACCAGACGTTCTATGATGCGGCAGTTGTGCGCCAGATCGATGTGCCCTCGTTCAGCGGCTCCTTCGGTATTCTGGCCAAGCATGTGCCCACACTTGGTAAGCGATCCACTCATGATGCTGATGATGCAGCTGGTGATTTATTAATCAATTCATTTTATATTCTATACACGCTGCGCACAGCTGTGCTGAAGCCCGGCGTTGTCCAGGTCATCGATAATGAGGGCAAACTGACAAAGTATTTTGTGTCCAGCGGCTCGGTAACTGTCAACGAGGACTCCTCCGTGCAGGTGCTCGCCGAGGAGGCGCACAATGTGGCCGACATTGATGTCTCCGAGGCCAGACAGCTGCTCTCCAAATATCAGTCGGCACTCAGCTCCGCCGGCAGCGACAAGGTAAGTTGGAATTTCTCCATATATATTTGTATATTCATTTATATTTAATGCGTTGCGACAACATTTCCATTGTTTCCATTGTGCTGCAGGCAAAGGCGGAAGCTGCCATCGCTGTGGAAGTTGCTGAAGCGCTCGTCAAAGCTGCCGAATAATGATCCAAAAAATAAGAAATATACAAAAACCATAAATACCAACTATCATCATAACAACCGTTACAACAACAACAACAACCGCAACAACAACCACAACAAGATTTAACAATTGTGTGTAAAATGATTAAGTCATAACAAATTTGAAATCATTTGTTATGAAACAATAAAACAAAAAGCGAATATATCTATCGTAATAATGCCGTGGCTCAACAGCAACAGCAGCGCATCAACATCAGCAGCAACAACTCCAGCAACCGCAACACAGCCCAATTCATATGTATATCATCAATTTGTTTTGTTTTTTTTTCCGGTTTTTATTTTTTTTTGTTTTTTGTTTAGTTTCTTATCGTGTGTTCGTTCAAAAAAGAGAAAATGCATCGCAGGAAAATGTGAAATTTAACGTTATTATTTATGCAAATGCGTTGGCAACGCAGTTGGCCAAGCAGTTGGCAACGCCAAGGTCAAGTTTAGTGATATAACTTCTTTTTTTTATAGTTTTGTGTCTGTTTTATTTTTTGTATATTTTTTTTCGATTGCAAACCCAGCCCATCATGGCCAGTGAGTGAGTTTAGATGAGTTCAATTAAAAAGAGTGCAATTTCGGTTAGCTAGTTTATCGATCGCTTCTACCCGATTATCTGGTTGTGATCGGAATCGCAGCTCTTTGAGAAACCAATCCATTTTCTTGGAGGTAGAACAGGTGCTAGTTGCATTTGCACAATGAACTTTATCACAAATAGATCTAAAATATACGCAAATACAGTCAAGCTAGCCTATGGTGAACATGTAATATATGCGACTGTAGTCTTAATAACTTAATAACCATATAAGCAAATACAGTCAAGCTAGCCTATAGTGAACATAGTTATATGCAATGAAGAATGTAACTATAATTTCTGCAGATCTCATCTGATATCTGAGTTCACTTTAACGAGGTGCGACTGTAGTATTTTGGCGCATGTCAGGCTCTCTCAAATCAATTAAGAAATGCAAGTTTTCATTTTCATTTTTTTTCATTATTTCTTTTTTTTCAAAACAAACAAAATAATACAACTATTTAATAAAAAAAAAAATTAAAATAACTTATGGCGTTGCTTAGCAGAAGAAGAAAAAGAGTTTGAGAAATTAGGTCGATAGTTGTCGCGAGTAGTAGGATTCATGGAGGTCTTTCACGTGTATGTGTGTGTGGGTGTGGATAGGTGGGTGCTGGTGGGTGAATGTGGACGCCTCCAGTGGCTTATGTTGCTGCTGCTGCTGCTGTTGCTGCTGTTGCTGTTGCTCTTGTTGTTGATCTCTGATCTCCGATATCTGTTATCTATTTAATAGTTGGGCGGACCATAGCTCTGGGCGGGCGCATGGCCAATGGGCAGCGCTTGCTCCTCGACGGGCGCCGGCAAACTCAGCACGGGGCTCTGATTAAATGCTGGCGCTGGCGCCGATTCGGGTACGCTGAGCTGCGGCAACGGTGCCTGCAGTGGTGCACCATATGCGGCATGTGGCGCCGGCAGCCCGATGGGAGGGCTGTAGATGGGCGCTGGTGCCGGTGCGGGTGCATTGTAAACAGGAGCGGGCGCGGGTGCATTATAAATGGGCGCGGGTGCATTGTAAATGGGCGCTGGTGCGGGGGCGCTGTAAATAGGAGCTGGAGCGGGAGCATTGTAAATTGGAGCTGGAGCTGGAGCGGGTGCGTTGTAAACAGGAGCTGGAGCAGGTGCATGGTAAACAGGAGCGGGTGCTTCGTAAACAGGAGCGGGTGCGGGTGCCTGATAGACAGGAGCGGGTGCCTGATAAACAGGAGCGGGCGCGGGTTCGGGCGCATGATAAATGGGCGCTGGAGCTGGAGCCGCAACGGCGGCATGTTCGTGAATGACGCGCACCACTTTAGTGGTGGTATGCGCCAATGGCGCGGCAACCTGATTATGCTGATGATTCTCGTGCACCACCTTGATGACCTGTGGACCACTCTCGACGATGGGTGCACTGGGTGCGCTGTGCGTATGATGATGCAACACCTTGATCACTTTGACATGTTCCCCACCGCCGCCGCCACCAGAGTGACCACCTTGCTCTTGGATAAGTTTGACAACTTGTACGCCTCCGCCGCCATGTCCGCCACCATGTCCGCCGCCGCCAGAGTGACCACCCTGCTGTTCGACAACTTTGACAACTTGTACGGCTCCGCCTCCGCCGCCGCCAGAGTAGCCACCACCATCATGTCCGCCGCCGCCAGAGTGACCACCTTGCTGTTCGACAACTTTGACAACTTGTACGGCTCCGCCTCCGCCGCCGCCAGAGTAGCCACCACCATCATGTCCGCCGCCGCCAGAGTGACCACCTTGCTCTTTGATAACTTTCACAACTTGTACGCCTCCGCCGCCATGTCCGCCGCCATGTCCGCCGCCATGTCCGCCGCCGCCAGAGTGACCACCCTGATGTTCGACAACTTTGACAACTTGTACGGCTCCGCCGCCGCTGCCTGAGTAGCCGCCACCACCATGTCCGCCGCCGCCAGAGTGACCACCCTGATGTTCGACAACTTTGACAACTTGTACGGCTCCGCCGCCGCCTCCAGAGTAGCCGCCACCACCATGTCCGCCGCCGCCATAGTGACCACCCTGCTCTTGGATAAGTTTGACAACATGGACGCCGCCACCGCCATGTCCGCCGCCTCCAGAGTAGCCACCACCACCATGTCCTCCGCCGCCATAGTGACCACCCTGCTCTTGGATAAGTTTGACAACATGGACGCCGCCACCGCCATGTCCGCCGCCTCCAGAGTAGCCACCACCACCATGTCCTCCGCCGCCATAATGACCACCCTGCTCTTGGATAACTTTGACAACGTGTACGCCGCCACCGCCATGTCCGCCGCCATGTCCGCCGCCATGACCGCCGCCATGTCCGCCACCATGACCACCGCCATATCCACCTCCATGACCACCGCCGCCACCTCCACCGTGGCCACCTCCACCGCCACCGCCACCGCCGCCACCGCCACCGCCGCCACCTCCACCGCCGAGCAGACCCAGAAAGCCAGCGTTGGCCACAGCGAAAAGCGCACACAGACACACAAAGACCTAGAGATGGAGAGGGAGAGAGAGAGAGAGAGAGAGAGTGAGAGAGATGTATAAAATGTGGATGCAGTGCATCTTGCTGCTGGCTGGCTGGCCGGCTGGCTAGCTAGCTTACCTTCATGTTGACTACTATTCCAGTTGTGGGTTGATCGACAAAATCGCCTACTGCCTCTAAATTCTACGTATCGTTGGCTTCTGTGTCCTCAAACACGACTGATGTTAATCGATGGGCGAGCGCCAGCTTTTATACGAATTTCAATTTCAATTTGAGCTGGAAGTGACCAAGAGTTGGAGATGTGCAAGATGATCATCTGCCACGATGCAAATTAGACCCGCAACCAACGCAACGCATCCCAAAAAAAAAAAAGAAAAAGAAAAAAAAACGTTTAAATATTTTCTTTTTTCGTTAGTTTTTTTTTTTTTTTTTTTTGTTAAATAGCCCAGCCCAAAAGAGCAGCCGAAACAAAAGCATTTCATTAACATTTGCAAGGGGCAATGGGCATCCAGTGATCATTATGATTATGCTTATGATTATGCTTATGATTATGGTCATGATGATCGAAGATGATGCAAAGTCTGTTGAGCTTTTATCTTTTTATTGTTTGGCTTGTCTTTCGTATAGGTTTAGATAGAAGTTGCTTTCGTTTTCATCTTGTCATCTTCGCGTTGACGACGTGCGCGGCGCACCCAGTAAGTTCTTCATTGCCAGTTTTTCCAAAAATTTTGTAATTTTCATAACGTTATTCAATTTGTTCGGTTTCCAGTTTAGCCAAGCATTTCGTAAAATTCATTTAACGTAACGCTGCAACGTAGTATTTGTGTCGATTTGTATTTGTGTGTCTGCATTTCCGAAATTCCGAAAGCCATCTCCTCCTATCAATTAGCATAATAATGAACTGACTGACTGTAGCTGTTTCTGTTTCTGTGGCTGTTGCTGTTGCTGATAAGACAACATTAACAATGCCTCCCGGTGCAGGTGTCTCACTCAATCTCCCTCTCAGGCCCTCTTTCTATCTATCTCTCTCTCTCCCTCTTTCTGGCCATGCATGATTTACACATCTGGTCAGTAATATATGTGTGGTAAGCCCCATGCCTGACTTCTTCTTTAGCCCATTGAATGTGGAGTGTTGAGCCATCTTTGATCCGTACCACTCCTCTAATGAGCCAATGCAAAGTTTTTACCCATCAACAAATTTGCTGTTCTCATTTAAGGAACTTTACTGAATATATTTTGGATGTTTTTTTTTTTGACTTAAGAGTTTTCTTCATTTTATTCAGCTCAATATGGATTGTTAATAAAGATGAGAGAGCTCTCTGATCTTCATTAAAAATTAATATATTGTTTGATATTTAAATTGTTTTTCTTGCTCCTGAAAATACACAAGTTATTGTCTTTGCACCTATTTTACTGTCCAGTTGTGTACGTATTATACTATTGGGTTACCTCACCCGGCGGCTGGCTGTCTAACAGCGCTGCCCACATATATATATACATATATACATATATATATATATATATATATTCATATGTGCCGCCAGCCGATCAGCATCTGGGCCGGATCAAAAGCCAAACCCAAAAAAGCCGAAACTCTCTCAATATCATATCAATTTCAGGCAATCATTTTCAAGGTGAATCGGAATCGTTTACTGTTCCAACAACAATCAACAGCCAACAAAAAATGTGTGTGTTGTCAACTAAGCCAAAGCAGCTGGTTATGTAAAATTCCAGCCCAGATGCCATGTAATAATATAATACACATCACATGTATTATCTTCACAGTCGCACGAGACGACCGGCAAACAACAACATCAGTGATCGCTACATACACACACATATATATATATATATATATATATATATATATATATACATTTAAATTAGTGTGAGAAACACCGAAGAGCCCATCAAAATTGACATCTAACCACAATCCACGTGTAATACATTTTTAATCTGCCGACATACTATGTACACTCATAAAAATTTGCAGTAAATCGCCATACTTTTGGCTTCAATGAGTAGGTAAGTCATCCTATTATTCGGAAAGTAAATTTCCAAACATTTATGATTGTGGCTTTCCAAAAACCGGGGACTTGCATTCCTAAATTTTGAGGGCAGGATTCTGTAAAAGGCTGTTGATTTGTCTGTGTGTAACATTCATTGATTGTTGAATTCTTATATTGGCTTTTTAATTACTTGTATTAATTATTAAACATTATTATTTTTAGACTTCAGTTGAAAGATCTTACGATCGCAATATAGAATATGGAAAAACTTTAGATATTTTAGATCGCTTTACTACAATTTAGAGCGTCTTTTTTTATGAGTGTACATAGATCGGCAGATTAAAAATGTATTTCTGAGTGTATGTAGTTGGTTTGGTATAAAATGTAGAGAAATAATAATAGCAGCGTCTGCAGAAGAAATTTGTTCAAAGGTGTATTTAATACAAATTTTAAGTTTAAGAATCTTATCAAGTGAAGGACTCTTCAAATAAGGGGAGAAAGATAAACAGAAAATGTTAATCACTGCCATCTGGATTATCCAACAAATGCATAAATAATAATAATTTCACTTTTTGCTGTGTTTAACAAAAGAAAAATTAAAAAAAAAGTTTAATCTTTTTACACTTTACACAACAACAAAAAACAAATTGGCTTGCAGAGTTTCGCAGAGCGTGAAAATCCACAACAACAACAAACTTAAAAGGGAATCTCCTCGCATTGGTTTTTTCTTTTGTTGTTTATTACCAGTAAATTGAGCGTGCACCTTGCTGCTGGGCAGCAAAAACGCATTTAACACAATTTCACGGTTTTTGTGATTATCTGATGTTGTTAATGGTGCGCGTATGAACATTAAGTACATTCAATAAAGACATGTCAATCAATTTAAATTGTACAAAAAAAAAAACACCGGCAGCAAATAAGCCTTTGAGCTGTTGGCACTTAATGAAAAATCCACTTCAATTAAGAATGTACAAAGCTTGTGATTTATTAGAGAAAAAAAGCAAAAAAAAATGGTGAATAATATTCTTAAAAACTTTTGTTTTGATGGTTTTTGGGAATCGTAGTCCTTGTCGATTGTGGATTGCGCTTACTTCTTGTGCTTCAGAAAGCCGCCGTAGGCGAGTGGAGATCCGTAGGCATGTCCGTAACTCAGCACTTGTGGCGATGAAATATAGGTGGCGCGATGCACAGGGACAATGGAGTGAACAACAGGCACCGCCACCGACTCGACAACGGGCACATGTCGTACGACGGGCACATGTCGAACGACGGGCACATGGCGGACAACTGGCACAGTTGCGTAGCTGGTGCCATAGATGGCGCTGCTCTGGCTAAGAGCCAAACTGGCGGCGAACAGCAGACAGGCAAGGAAGAACTGCCAAAGCCAAAAAGGATAATCAAATCAAATCCGAATTGAGATCTGTTGGTGGATTGGACTTACCTTCATGTTGATTTGATAACTGAAAGATTTGTGTTGAACTGCTTGGCCAAACAGTATGCTTATATAGTTGACGGCGACAGAATGTTTGTCAAATGTGGATCGGATCAGATCAGATCATCATCATTATCATCAAACTGGCCCCCACGGACAGACACAAGTAGAACGGCATTTGAAAAGAAGCCCAATCAAAAATCGAGACGCATTATGTTAATATCTCCGACAAGTATAAAGGGTGGCATTCTTATTGAAATTGTCCATATTTGTGACGTCTTTTGAACAATGAGAACTTGTTCTTGCATCGAACTAACTACAATATCTATAATAACTATCTGGCTGTCTGAATGGGTCCGGATCCGGATGCGGCCACGGCCTTGGCTGCCCTGTCGCCAAATATCGAATTGGGCGCCTTGATTGATTGTTCGCTTTGTGTCCAATTATTGATCGCCGTTTATGTGGCTTTGTTTATTTGTATAGACATACATATCTATCTACAGATATTGTATATATATTTATCTACAGATATTGTTTGTTTGCCAAACTACTCGACTCAAATGCAAATCGATGCCTCCAACTTTTTTTAAGCTTCTCCATTCCATTTCAAATGCTTTCAAATACCACAAAATACCACAACAATAACTTAAAATATAATAATTGTTTGTTTTTTGCTATTGTTTTTTTTTTTGTGTGCTTTTGTTTTATATTTTATGCCCTGTATCCATAAAGATGTCAAATGATAAAATAAAAGCTAATTTTAAGTTATGCACGTGTATCAAATATATATATATATATATATATATATATATATATATATACAGCAGCATGAAGCAGCTGTGCACCCTTCTTGAGATGCTTCCTGTGGTTGGAGTTGCGCTGGATTGCAATGAATTGCTCCGGGGCGAGGTGCATGCTCTGATTAGCGCCTCGGGAGCGAAGTGCGTTGATTACGGGTGCGTCTCATTGGGTCACCGGGTCAATTGTTCGCTGCGAAGCTAGCGATGTTTTACGAGTCAAGCTGCCGGAGAAAAGGGGCGTGCAGCTGAATAAGAATCTGTGTTTACGACTACTGGGCAGTCAGACAGACGTCAGATGGCATCGAGCACGTGCAGCTGAAACCCAAGATGACAATTACAATTCATTTGCCGTTGCAAATGTTGGCCATTTATCCGGGGGTGAGTGTTGTTAAGGTGCTGAGCGATCTCAACGCTAACTTGAACGCTTTTCGCGTTGATAAGCCGCTGCAGCCATATTCATTGGACGCTTGCCACAGATGACTGGCATCCCAATTGGGATTTCGCCGGGCTCTGTAGCTGGACTTTGTTGAGCAGCCATCGCTTTATTTGGTCTACGAAATGGACGAGGGTCGCAACTCGATAACCAATGAGGTGCGTTCTCGATGGACCAGAGCCCAATACGCGGTGGATTTCCATTCCCAATTTGGACAAGATTTTGACACGGCAACTAATTTAATTTTTGAAATACTTGAAAACATTCATATTGACGACTTATTGGATAGCGTCCCTTTTGTTTTGTTTTAATATTAATCTAGAGCAAAGATTATCTCGCATTTCTTTCAAAAATACTTTGAATAAATTAAAATTAAATAAAATATAAAAAAAAAATATATATATATATATATATATATCTATTAACTGTCCTCAATCTGTTGTTTTTTCTTCAAGTTGTTCACAAACTTATTTCAGTTCCCACATTTATTCCGAATTCCCCCAAAAAAAAAACAAAACTACATTTATCTCAAAAGTATTTAAGCTGACTGATTAATTGCCAATCGAGGCAGAGGCCAAAAACCTTGAGCTAATTTTTCAGAGCTGTTTTCTCTTATGACGTATTATTGGAACACATTTCGACCAGCTTTGGAAAATGCCACTTAAAAAAACGATTGCATTCTAAAAAGCTAAAAATTGAAATGCATTTTTAGTTTTATTTATTTAATGTCAACCAAAGTGAGTCAACAAAAACAAAATACAAAAAAAATAAATTAAATTACAAATAAAATGTATAATGAAAAGAAGATAATAAATAATATAAAGATGCATATTCTTTATAAGGAATCAATATCCCATTTAAAATGTTTACTTGGAATGTAGAACTTGATTTAATACGAGTAAGTTGATATTTTGTTTATATGGAAAGATATATGGAAAGGCAATCTTTGAGACTCGTTTCTATCTGTATCGCATTAGAGAAATACATGTTGTCAGCTGTACTTCTGCTCCAACTCCAACTCCTTCGGTTTTTGGAGTGTGTTTGCATAAGAAATGAGTTTCACATTCGGAGCAACAACAACAGCAACAACAACAACAACAACATTCCACACAAATCTACAAAACGATGTTATCCGAAAATCAATTTGGATTTGAAGACAAATTGCGCCAGCGACCCGAAGAAGAAGCCGGTCAAGTTTCACCTTTGGCTTTGCGCCACTCGGCAATCCAACAATTAAGTGGCAGCCGCCTCTGCAGTTGCCCCCCATACCACTTTCGTCGTGCCACTTTGCCGTTTGCCCCTTATCTATCACTCTTGCCGCTCTGTCAAGGGCACTGAATGAAAGTCGCGTCATTATGATATAACATTTGGCCCACAACAAGTTACCAAATTAGCTCGCTTGTAGCTCTTTTTTTGCTTATGTGTTTTATCTATTCATTTTTATATTTATATTTATATTTATATTTATTTATTTATTAACAAATAATTTAACAATGATGCTGCGAACAATGCTGATGGATTGTCTAATGACTTCAATGATTTTTTAGCCTAGTAAAAAAAAATATCAAAAAAAAAGAGGATATATATATATATATATATATCCCATATATATATATATATATCAATTGATTTGGTCTAACTAACTAGGCGCTGGGAGCATCCTACCAGCCGGCGGGCTGAGCGCTCCAGCCACTGCTAGAGGCGCCACCGCTGTGCCAACCACCGCCACCACCGCCTCCAACTTGATGCTGCTGCTGCTGGTGCTGCTGCTGCTGCTGGTTCTCCTGGACGCGCATCACTTTGAGTGTGCCACGCTGCACCACATGGCCGCTCTTGAAGAAGGCGCCCTGCGCTTTCTCCGCCCGCATAATAATCGCCTTGCCCCGCTGCCCGAATGTATCAATGAGCTGGCCGTTGATGGCATCCACATTGCCATAGCCGCCGCCGCCACCGCCGCCACCACCGCCGTACAAGGCATCCTCCTGCAGTACAAGCTGAATAATCTGGGGCAGAATTGCATTCAACTGGTGGCTCTGATAGCCGCCACCTCCATAGCTATGACCGGAGGCATACGACTGACCATAGGAATAGCCGCCGCCGGAGCTGCCCCCGCTATTGCCATGATAGGCAATGCCCGCCGCTGGCGCCGCATGCTCAATCACCTTGAACACCTGTTCGCCATAGTTGCCGCCATGATCGTGTCCGCTGGCATAGCCATGTCCATAGCCGCCACCACCGCCACCGCCACCGCCACCGCCATAGCCTTGTCCACCATCCTGCAGTATGATCTTGATAAGTTGTGGCGATCCACCGCCGCCACCACCATGTGCATGTCCATGACTGTAAGATCCACCGCCGCCGCCGCCGCCGCCATGTCCATATCCATGTCCACCACCAACACCACCACCGTTTGGTGTCGCTATAATATCGTAGGTAGTTTTGGTGCTACCGCCAAGACCACCACCGCCGCCGCCGCCGCCGCCCAGGAACGATAGAAAGGTGGCATTACAGATGCCCAAGGTGGCCAGTAGACAAACAATGATCTGCAGAAAGATCAAAATTCAGTTGCAGTTGCAGTTGGAGTTGGAGTTGGAGTTGCTGTTGTGTAATCCAAAAGGAGCAGCTGCTGTGCATCCAGCACTCACCTTCATTTCGCTTAACTCCTTAATATTGCTCTCTCTTTCGCTCGCTCTTTCTAACTGTCTCTCGGGCTCGTCCGTTGCTCGTCGAGCTGTTCCCGATTAACGATTGATGCCACTTTCGCGCGGCCCATCTGCTTTTATACAAAGCTAGCGAAGCAGCTTCTTTTTTTGCTGCTGCTCGGTCAGTTCGGCAATTCCACGCCATTCCATAATTCCCGTTAAAGGGCTGTCGGACAAGTCGATGCTGATGCCGAACTGCTGCTGTTCGTGAGATTCGTAAGAGTTGCCTATGACGTCGAAGATGAAGTGCTCGTGATACGCAATGCGAGCAGCGAATGGGGGAACCATCGAAGCAGGGAGGAGTGGAGATTGAAGGGGAGTGAATACTAATGGAATAATTGGAATACACGCGTATTGCGACGTTTTGGTCATTTCTTTTGGCCTCTTTCTGCCCATCTCTCAACTCTCGTCATTCACTTCAAAATATTTGAAAAAAAAAACAATATTGTTGTTGTTGTTGTTGTACTTTTCTCCCTCCTACAAATTGAATTCTACAGGGTGTCTAATATGCAAAAATAAATATACATACATTATAATAATTTATAGTAAAAGTAATATTTTTGTTGTTGTACTTTTCTCGCTCCCACTAACTGAATTGTACAGAATGTCTAATATAATACTATAAATACAAATATATTATAATCGTATATAGTAAGAAGTGTGATTATTGGTATAAAACGCAAAGTGTACAACAAAACTCAAAATTAATTTTTCATTTGACACGCAGTCAAGGCAGACACCCTGTATATGTTTTGCTTGGCTATTCGAATTCCCACAAATATCTGTGTATATGCAATAACAGTAACAATAACACGAGCATTAGCGCATCTCCAAACTAAACGACCCATGTCTCCCCCCCTCGCTCTCTCTCTATGTCCCATCTTCTCCCCTGGGCGCACGACGGCTCGCTTCGTGTATCAAAATTCGACCGGCTTTTTGCATACGATTATCGATTTGTGCGGATTGCTTTGCCTCGGCTACGAATTGTGTCTGCTTGTGGTTATTGTTGTTGTTGTCGTTGCTTTGCTGCTGTTGCAACGGAAGAAAACTCAAAGGCTTGTTCGATTCGGATTCGATGGAGCCAATCTCGCAGTTTGACACAGTCGCTGTCGCAGTCGCAGCTGCAGTAACAGTGAGCGTCGCAGTCACAGTCAGCGTCGCAGTTCGCTTATATCATGCAAGAAATTTCAAATTCGTTTAGTTTTGTGTGCATTTTTTATATAAATTATTTAATGCGCATTGTTGCGCATAATTTAACTTTAACCATAAGATGCCCCCCCCCCCCCCCCCCTGTTCACCATGCACTCCAACCATTAGCTTAAGCGAAATTAAAAACGATTGGCATTTTATCAGTGGGTTGTCAAAGCAAGCATCCCAACCCAAAGAGCCGATTATGCGGCTAATGATGAGGATGAATATGATTCGTGACTATGTGCCAATACTACCGATACAATACAACCAATACTACATCTCATTATATATGGTTGATCAATGACCAGCATTCCACTTACCCACTTTCCACTTTTGACGGGGGGAACACCTGTCTGCGAAATGTCAAATTGTTGACTCATCTTCGATTTATTGATTCATCAGTTCATTTAGCCTGTGATTAGTTATGCAATTGGCAATTGTGAGCACTTCTCATATTTTAAACACATATCAAATGCAATAATTACAACATATTAACTGTTCATCTTTCTTTTTATTTTCTTTTCTTCTTTTTTTGTTGTAATACATACGTTGTATAAACAAAGCATTAAATAACATATATCATTATTTATTATGTTTATAATTTTACAGTGCTGTAACACCACATTTACAGGGTGAGATATTCCATTGGTTTAGAAAAAAATTATTACAAAATTATTACTGTGTAATTTGTTAAATATAAAAATACGATTTTCTTCGTGATAAAATGCTTACAGTTGATCAATAGATAGACACATTCTCGATAAGAAAAATACATATTAATATCTCTGATATAGATCATCAATAAGATATACACATTATCGGAACATTATTATACACTTTTTACCCATTTTTATTGCGTTCAGGCTATAAACAGTTTAACAACTCGTCAACTTTTTGTACATAAATAATTTTGTTGTCGTTTTTTCTTTGTTTTTTTTAAAGGTGCTAACAGAATATGATCTTATTTCTCGTTATATATATTGTTTACAACTTGAATCATTGACTTGGTAAATTTATAAAGCAGTTTACAGAAATTCATAGACACCACACACACACACAACCTATTAATGTATATTAAGTCGATTAGTTTGGCAACGAGCTCATTTTGAGGCGCCCATTTCTCGATTGGGTTGAATTTCCGCATTTTGATAGTTTTGATCAGTTTATTTACATACTCGTATATCATCGCCACACGCATAATAAGCAGCAACCACACGACACAGATGGTTATATCATCCGGTTATCCACATTGTACAGATTCCAAAATATATGTTTAATGCATGTGGATTTACAAAGATTCATTCATAACCATTGGCCAATCATCGTTCGGCTACGTGAGACTCAACACTCAACACTCAACACTCGAGACTCGGACTGAACTTTGCGGAGCTCGAAACTATTTAGCTATTTTACTGATCAAATATTTGGCACCCGGTTGTCTATGTTATCGTTGACAGGCACTAATTGCATGTGCATGATTTCTAAGAATTTAACTATACACAATTGCTATACAAAATAATAGTAGTTCACACATATGAATGTTAATAAATGTAAAAAAGAAAGAAAAATACTTCAAGTAAAGTTAAAAAATGATGAGAATTTGATTTAAACACAAGCAATCCATACTGAAGATAAGTAAACATTTAAAGTTGGCATAGCTATAAAAGATTCAATTTGTTATTTTTATATATATTTTTATTAAATTAATATTTTAATTTATCAATTATTTTGCATATTTTATTTTATTATTATTTTTTTTTTAAATAAGAAAGCTGCTGCTTTATAAATCAAATCAATATCTAAAATGGATGTTTTTCATTTAGTTTTTTTTTCTTGCGGCTCTTTGTTCAGCAATCATGAAACATTTTGTGAAAATATATAATTTGTTATGAATCAATGGCAAATTGTTTTCTTTAGCAATTAAAAACGAGTGAGAACAAGTTGCTTGTGCAGCTGTTATGGAGAACACAGTTGCCACAGTTGCCACAGCTGCCACATCAGGCATTTTCCCCAGCACCGAGTTTGTGCATAAAAGACCCCTTCAAAGGCAGAATGGCAAACAGTTGGCGTGGCAAGCTTACTCGGAATGCATCCGGAATACGAACCGTATATGATTCTGTTGCGACTGCTAATCCTTGGCTGTGGCTGGGCTGTGCCGGCTTACGGCTATCTGCCCGATGTCAACATATTCACCAACTATCGCACGGAGGTCTATAACGGTGAGTCAATTGAACAAAGCAACAAAGCAACTCAACCACAAAACAACAACAACAATCGCAATGAATCCAATCTATGGCAATCCAGGCATTCCATCGGACATTGACACAACGCCGTTTGTACGGATCGGAGATAACTACTACTACATTGAGCCAATGAATAAGGTGAATTGGTTTCAGGCGGCGGCCACATGCCGCACGATGAACGCCCATTTGGCCTCCATTGAGGACAAGCCGGAAATGGAGGCACTGGTCAAGTATATGAGGGCCAAGGGCTTCAAGAGTAACGACTATTTTTGGATATCCGGCAATGATCTGGGCACCGAGGGTGCCTTCTATTGGTCATCCACCGGTCGTCCGCTGACCTACGCCCCTTGGAACGGAGCCAAGCAGATGCCAGATAATTACGGTGGCAATGAGAATTGTGTGCACATGTTCGCCACCAGGGATCTGATCAACGATGCCAACTGTAAGATTCTCATGCAATTCGTGTGCGAGGCCAGCGATCCCAAGACCTTTAAGTTCACCTACATTAAGTGGTAATAATAACTATATAGAAATAAGTTGTTTTTTTTTGTTTTTTGGTTTTTGCGTGCAGGAAACACGGCATTTTTATTGAACCTGCTTCTGCTTCGGCTTCATTCGTCGATCATCATCATTTCATAATGATGATAAGTTAATTAATTATCGTCTTACGCATTAATTTGCTAAGTTGCATTACACATCAATTTTAGATTTTTAAATGTACGTTATGCAATATACTAAATTGTTTGCGAATTCGCCTTACATTTTATATAGCTATGAAATTGTATTTGCCATATATGCATGTATATGATATCATCATAGCATACCATCTCTCACATATATATATGTATGTATTATATTCGCGTTCGATCGGCTTCTTTATATCGTTGTTATTATTCCAGTACAATAAACAACAATCGCTTTAGCCAATTTACATACACATCGATATATATATCTATATATATAAGTATTTGAAAATTACACAAAACTCAAATACACGATAATACACACACACACATATATATGTGTCTATATATATATATGTAAAAAAATCCCGTTACATATTACAACTTACTTGGCTAGGCAAACAGCGATCGGATATTGGAAAATTTACGACATAACCTCAACACTAATATTATAATATCCAACTAGTATGTATCTAGTCTGTGTGTGTGTGTGTGTGTGGGTGGATGTGTGAGATTGTGCTACTAACATAGATATACACATATATATATGTATATATTTGTTTTAGTATATAATATGTATTTTCTAAATTGTTTGCATAGCTTTCAAGTCTTAATGCTTCAACCTAACCTAATTTTGCCGATTGCTTAACACACGCACTCACACCTCAAATTCGAGTATGTTCTATGTATGTATGTATATTATGTACATATGTATGTACGTATGAATATCTCTTCTGTTGGTTGTTTTTTTTTTTGTTTTCTCAATTATTAACTACACAATATATATTTATATATATATATTTATTTAACAGACGACGAGTGTGCATAAATTGAAGATTTCTTATTGCGACATTCTAACATTTATCGTCTACAATTTTGCTGTCTATGTGTGTGTGTGTGTGTGTGTGTGCAGCACTGCATGCGTGTGTGTGTGTGTTTGGGTGTGGGTGTAAGGTGGGCTTCAAAGCAGCTGTCATCAAGTCAAGTCAAGTGTGTTCGTCGTCGTCAGCTGCTATCGAGAGAAATGATTGTGCTGCGGACGAGGGGCGGAGTGGTGTGCATGATTGACATTTAGTTGTTGACAGTCGATAACGATAAGTTAGCCAACACTGGCCGGGGCAGGGCGGGGCAGCAATGACAGCGCTTATTTATTCTGATTCACTAACATGCACAATAATATATCCTTATACGTTGCTTAAGTTTTTCTTGTTTCTCTTACAATTGGAAAGAACAGCCTAAATGTTATACATGTACAAAGTCTAAATGTTCTTTTCTTTTCTTTTTCATTTTGTTTTAAAAACTTCTCTCAAAATGGCAGTAAGTTTAAGTTAAAGACAAGAGTGAAGAATGGTTGAATAGCGGAGGGGAGGGGCGGGAAGGGGGCAATTAGGAATATTCTAGGACATATGACGAAAGCGGCATCGAGTATGCCAATAAACTCATATACACATACATATATATACACCCATACACATATATATATATATATATATATATATATATATATACATGTATATATGTACACTAATAAATGGCAGGAATTGCATATATGCCTATAGTAAGTATATGATAATGAATAATTTTACACCGTTTTGGTTTTAGTTTTTTGTTGGCTTCGTTTTTTTTTTCTTTTTAGTTGTTTTGCTTTTTTTGTTTTGTTTTCAAACACATTGCATTTCAGTGTGTGTGTGTGTGTGTTTCTCTGTGTGTGTGTGTTTCTGTGTGTGATCGCTTTTGTTGTGCAATGTGTTCGTACAATGTTTTTTGCTTTTTGTGTTGCTTAGGTGCAGAATTTTAAATATGATAATCATAATAGTAATAGTACAGAAATAGTATTGGGATATTCAATAATAATAATAATAATAATAATAATAATCGTAATAATAATAAAAACATTTGAGGCGTTAATAAAAGAAGCAGCTCTTATCATAGATTTAGATTTTATCATGGAAATTACATAATGCTTAACGATCGATCAATAAAAAAAAACTAACTGCTATTTTTTGTTTTGTTTTTTCTCATTGTTTTTTTGTTTCTGTTTTTTTTTTTTTGTTTGCTGTTCTTGTTTGTTTTTCTCGTTAGACGCACACAATTTCACTTAATAATATTCGCGTGAGAATTGCGCACAAGTTTTGCAGGATTTTCACGCTTATTGTTTGGATTGCTTGTACACCTTTCCTTCGCATACATAATGTATGTGTGTATGTATGTATTTATATACATCTGCTCGTTCTCCATATATAATATATACACATACATACTACATATGCAGCACTTAAGCTATAAGCAACATACTACATTTATTTAATATGATAATAGTTTACTACTATTACTTACATTTCTAACAGAAAAAAAAAATGATAATAATCAAATAAACGATGAAAAAAAATATCTATATAGTTGCCTTAACCATATATTTTTTTTTACAAATAATATTTCATATATATGTACTTCATTTCGTACTTCACATTTCGCTTCACATAATATCTTATATAGACTAAATTGGGTTTTATGTTTTTCTTTTTCTTTTCTTTTTACTTATACACCGATATATATTTTAGTTTTTAAATGTAATGTTTTGTGTTATTTAATCAGTTTTATTTTTGTTTTTTTTTTTTTCAGTTGTTTTCTTTCATTATTATTTTAGAAACAAAATGAAATTCCAACTAGCACACAAGGAGTGCAGCAAAGTGTACGGATTACTATATATATATATATATATATATATATGCATGTGTTTATATATATATGTGTGTGTGTGTGTCTGTGTGAGTGGGTGGTAGTTATTATAGGATGGGTGCAAGCGAGACAGCACGGATGTGGCATTCTTAGTTAATGGTTATGATATATGCAGCATTATTAATGTTATTTCTTACGATGTGTGCAACGCACTGAAGGAATTATCTCCCCGCCCCCTCTATAACATATATATATATAGAGAAAGGTCGACTCGAATCTCTTTCATTCGATCATATCGATAATTCACTATATATATACCCTGTGTGGAGGGTGGGTAAGAGTGGCCATGTCCGTATCTGCTGTTGCTCTGACCTATTTGTATTTTTGTATATATCAGCTAAACTCTCTTCCTGCTTCGGGACTTAAGGATCAAATTACTATATCATATTGCTCATATAGGAACAATCGGTAGATAGATTTGTTCTTTCTTTTCTGTTTACTTTGAATAGGGCCTTTAGCTGCTATTATATTCCTCACAGTTAGTTAAATAAAAGTATACCTCATCGGAGCATCTGAGCACTAAATCATATAGTCTGAGGAATATATTGAATACATATGTAAAAAATTGTGCCATCTAATATGGCATATTAACACCTTCTGAGCAACATATGTACGAAATATGTCATATTTATATTCAATAGGAACACCGAAAAAATTGTTGTTACTAAAACAAATATGTATAAATATATAGATAAAAAGATAATCAAACTAAACAAAAATGTTCTAATCGAGGGCAACTTTTTATGCACACATGACTATTGCTATCTCTATCTCGCTAACACGCACACACACGCAAACACACACACACAGGCACACACATGTATATTATGGCTACGGCCATTCAGCAATCTTCAGCAGTGACCAGCTGGCCACATGCGGAATCGGCCGATTCACCGCCAGAAGCACAGCGTGGCGAACGTGGCGATGAGCCCGAGGAGCTGCCAACCGAGGATTCCGACGATATGGAAATGATTGACGATGATGAGTTGACCAGACGAGCATCTCGCATCTGTTGCAATCGACTGTGGCTGCTGTTGTTGCTGCTGTGAGCAGCAGTTGCTGCCACTGGGTAGGCTGAGGATGAGGATGAGCATGTTACTGTGAGCGAACCTACCGATCTCGATGAGCCTGATTGAAAATGATGACGGCGATGATGCTGCTGCTGCTGCTGCTGTTGTTGTTGCTGATGATGATGATGTTGCTGTTGTTGCGACTGCTGCTGATGATGCAGATTATGGTGATGATGTTGTTGTTGTTGTTGTTGCTGTTGATGATGATGTTGCTGCTGCTGTTGTTGGTAACCACCACCACTACTGCTGCTGCTGTTGTTGTTGCTGCTGCTGCTGTTGCTGCTGGACAGTCGCAAATGCTGTGGTCGCTGCTGGTGATGATGTTGCTGCTGTTGCTGCTGCTGCTGCTGCGAATGTTGTGTGTTGTAGCCAACAGTTTGCTGCGTACTGGCAGAGCTGGACTTGGTCAATTGTGGCTGCTGTTGCATGTGCGGCGCCACATAAAACTGCTGACGATAATACGAAGTGGTGTTGTGACCTCTATGCTGCTGCTGTTGTTGGTGAGCATAACTTCGTGTCGTTGGGTTGCTGCTGCTACTGCTGTGATTGGAGTAGACATTCACGCTGCTCATCAATATTGGTGGTGGTTCATCCAGTGGTGGTGGTTCATCGCTCAGCTGCTCCACGTCTGGCTGTAGTTGTAGTTGTGAAGAAGATATACATGTATGTTGGCAAGGTTGGCCCTGTGGCTTGACGACGACTGGCATTATGCTGGCCGCAGTTGCTGCACCATTGTTATCGTTGATGATGACGCCGCTACTGCTGCTGCTGCTACTGCTACTGTTGTTGTTACTATTATTGTTGCTACTGCTGCACAACAACAACAATTGTTGTGCACGCGGCATTGCAGCATTTGGGTTGGTAGCAATTGCGGCCAGCATAACACAGCCGGCGGCCTGCTGCTGCTGCATGAGGCCGGCAGCCATTCATCATGTATCTATGCGTGTGGGTGTGTGCATTACCGACGAGCTGTTGCTGATGGGCAGCTGCTTGGGCGCCACAATCACATCCAGTCCGTTGGGCGGCGAGTTCGTGATGTCGATGATCTCAACAATTGGCTGACCGACAACTGTTAATGGCTCTCGCTCCCTCTCTCGCTCCCGCTCCCTGTCCCGCTCACGTTCCCGCTCCCGCTCTCGTTCGTTAAGCTCACAGTCCTTGCTATCCTCGGAATCATCAGCGGATGAGGTGCTGCCTCGCCGATGACGCAATGCCGTCAGATTCAGCTGTGCCTGTGGCTGTTGCAGATGTTGATGATGTTGGTGTTGCTGCTGTTGTTGCTGCTGCTGCTGCTGTTGTTGCTGCTGCTGCTGATGATGATGATGATGATGATGCTGCTGTTGTTGCTGCTGCTGCTGTTGCTGCTGCAGTTGTGCAGCTGCTGCCACGGCCGCTGCTGCGGCGGCGGCGGCTGCTGCTGCTGCCGTATGATATGGCTGGGGCGCCAGTGCGTGCGTCTGCAGCACCGCGTGGGGGTGATAGATGGGATGGACTACGGCACCGGAGGCCATGATCACATACTTTCCGTTCGTGTAGGCGGGCAGCGGCGAGATCGGATCGATGGCGGTCAGATAGTCAAAGTTCTCGCGTATCCATTCCCGATAATCGATCACGTCATCGGTGATGTGAATAATGCGACCTTTGAAATATAAAAAAAATAACAGGAGATATATATATATATACATAGATAGTTAATATAGTAAGAGAATAACTTGTACATTTCAAAAATATTCATTTTTTCATTTCTTTCCTAATACTAAAAATGAAAACTCTCTGGCTAAAAACTCCATATTGAGCTGGACAGTGAAATCGCTGCGAGGAATTGCATAAAATTCAGGAAACTTTCATTTCTCCATTGATTGGAATATATTCATTGTAATAAAGCCTTAACTGAGGAGATATCGAAAAAAATTAACATTTGCTGAGCCACATTGAATGGACGGTCTCCAAACAAATGCTCTTAAAGTCAGAGAAAAACAACAACAAAAAAAACATTCAGTACAATTTCTTAGGTTAGAACAGCAAATTTGAAGATGGGTAAAAGCTTTCCATGGGTTCATTAGGACTGGCACTGGATCAGAGGGCGCAAGAAAGAAATGTAAGTCAAAGTCAAAGAGTTCCATAATAAACGAACTAAAGTAGAGTCGTCATGCATGGTGCTGTGCTGCAGCAGCGCATGTATAATCTGCATCGATTCGCTGCTCCTCACGCCCTTTTCCTCCCCGTTAGCTGATCTCTATTCCTTGCATATATATTCTTTCTGTTTTTGGGACTGTTTTAGCTTAGTATCTAACTTGTATTGAAATTGTTCTTCTGTATTTGCACTCACCCAATATGGAGGTGACATTGGCATCCGTTCCCCAAAGATTGAGTGGACTGACCGCTTTGGTGAGCTCACGGTAGGCGCAGCGGAAGGCCTGCTGGACGTGGAAGGCACCGTAGCTGCTGCGTCCGATATCGTTGCCGGGCGTCAATGGATCCTCGATGCAGAGCAACGATGGCCGATGGCCATCGACCATGTCGCGCTGCAGTTCATCCTTGGGCGTATAGCGACCGCCGTCTAATGGAAATGCCGACATTGATGTAATTAAATCGAATGCCATAATGCTCAAAGAACTCGAGCAGCAGCACGCCCAGATTCGGTTTGTCCGGGAATATGGCGCGCGGATGCAATTGCAAGAAGCAAATGCACATGAGTATCAGTGAGTACGATGAGATACCGCCGGTGAAGACCTCGTTGAGATCGCGCAGCAGCAGGAACTGCTTCAGCACCAGCACCAGTTTTCCAAGCACGGGAAATTCGCGCTTAAACTGCTTGATCAGCTCCGCGGACTGCACGCCCGACTGCATATTGAACGATATGTCGACCTTGACCTGCGTCTCCCGATCCGTCAGCTTGATGATCGGCACCGACGCCTTGTCCAGCACCCGTACCGTGCACGCCTCCGCGATGCCCCGGGACACCAGCTCGAACTCTAGCGTGCGCAGCGGTAATTTCTCCCACAGTCCTGCAAAAAAAAAAAACAATGCGAATATAAACAAAAATAGAGGGAGAAAGATAGACAGAGAGAGAGAAAAGAGTTGAGGGACAAAATAAAGTTAATTTCGTGACTAATATAAAATAAAAAATTAATATAAATATGAACATAAAAATAATGCCAAACGATTATCAAATAAAGGATACAATATATAAAATACATCCACTAATGAGAGTGAGGACGTAACTAAAAGGAAATCCTCAAATATATACTGCAGATAACTGAACAAACAGTTTATAGACCAACACTTGGTTTGAATTATGATCGGTTCAATTTAAAATTAAATTATGCTGATTATTAACTAAGAGTGGAGAGTCGAAGAACTCGTAATGCATTTTGACATGTGGAAAGTGTACATAATCAGATTGTTGTTGATGGCAGTTGATATGTTGAAACTTACCCAGCACAACGAGATCAATGTCCGAGGTGGGTAGAAAGAGGCCGGTGCGAAAGGAGCCAAATATTTCAACTACGGCCTGCGGCCATATCGATTGGACAACGGCCTCGATGCGCTTGACGACCTCGTTGCGTATGGCATGCTCGCAGGGCGTGGGCAGCACATACTGATAGAAGTGTTCGATCTCCTCGTGCAGTCCAATTATGCCATCGCCGTATTGAAAGTCGCGCACACGCCACGGGCAACCCTTATACTTGACTATCATGTCCGCGTGCTTGTTCAGATTCAGTGTGCTCGACTTGTTGTCCACGACACGTTTCCTACGCGATGGATTATAGTAGGTGTTGCTGCGCTCGTGCAGCGGCACCTTCGACGCGGGATTTGCTATAAAATTGGTGGTGTTTGTGGAGCTTGTGTTGTTGTTGTTATTATTGTTGTTGGTTGTGGTAGTGGTGGTGGTGGTGGTGCTGTTGCTGATGATGTTGCTGCTAGTGTTCGTGGTGGTGCTGGTCGTAGTGGTGTTGGTGGTGCTGCTGCTGCTGTTATCGCCGCTTGTTGCTGTCGTTGTTGTGTTGTTTGCAGCAGCTGTTGCTGCGACGACTGATGCTGTTGTGATTGCTGCTGCTGCCGCCGCTGCGACGTTAGCGGCGCTTGTTGTTGCGGTTGCTGATGTTGTTGTGACACTGTTGTTGCTGCTGCTGCTGTTGCTCGTTGGCGAGTTATTGTCGTTGTTCGATGTGGAATCAACAGAGGTGTTGCTCGAGCTGTTGCGATTGTTACTGTTGTTGCTATTCCCCCGAGCAGGCGTCTCGTTCAACTGCTGCAGCAGTGTCTGCAATGAATCCGGATCACACTGACCAATTGTTGAAACGTTGTCGCTTTTATTGTTGCTGCTGCTGTTGTTGTTGTTGGTGGGCGTTGTGCTGCTGCTGCTGCTGACGATACTGTTGCTGTTGTCGTTCTTGCTGCTGCTGCTGATGTTGCTGATGTTATTGTTATTCTGCTGTAGCTGCTGCTCAAGAAGTGCGCCCATCTCCTGTGCATTCGTCTCCCAAATCTTTAGCCATGTGCGCAACGCTGGTCCCTCTTGTTCCTCCTGAAACCAGCCAACACACGGATCCATTCAAATACGGACGGGATTTGCTGCTGTGCTTTCCAGCGAATACGCCTCCTACTCCAACTTCCTCCTCTCTCTCTCTCTCCCTCTATCTCTTTTAGAGTGAGGTCTCCTCTGGACTTTTCTCTTAAATTATTGTTGTTGTTGCCAAAGCTTGTCCGTCGTCTAATTTCTATTGACGATTTTCATGGCAACTTCAAATTGTTCTTTTTTAATTGTCAACAGGCTGCAACTGTAATCAAAATAAACGCATTCAAATATGTATTAATATTTATATTTTTTATATGCACATCATTAGCTTAAGTCGAAACGGTACAAGCCGAAATAATGGCGTTGCCACTGTGCCGCACAATAATAATTATATATGTATGGCAATCTTCTCTCTCTCGCTGTCATTTGACGCATCACTGACCAAAAAGAGATCAAAAAGTAATCGTTTGCATGTATGTATTTTTGATCGTCTCGTGACGTCAAAAATGCGCGTTCTCATTGTACCATGACACTCACACACAAATACACATACACGTACGTACACACGACGATCGCATGTGTTATCAAAAATTGTATTTTTTTTTTTTAACTAAATAGAAAGCGCAAACAATTGCATTGCAAATTATGCGCTATTTTTCTACAAATAGAAACGTTGCAAAGTCGGCGAGACGCCACAGCTGCAGCTGAAGCGTAGAGAGCAATGCCGGCGGCGCCTAAGCTCTCTGCAAATATTCCGCTTATTTTTTCTTTTTATCAGAGCACAAATCGAAAAGCAAAAAGAGGCCAAAGAAGAAGACAATCAAATAGAATGGACACATACACAAATATGCATATGTATTTATAAAAGTGTGTGTGTGTGTTATCGCATTGACAAGTGAAGTGAGCAGCGCTGCTCACGAGACTACCGCAAATCACATCGCGTCTAGCTGTGCATGTGTGCGTGCATGTGTATATCTGTCTCTGTGTGTGTGTTTGTGCAAGGGCGTACAGGTGGCTAAATGACGTAGGGGAGCCGGGAGAGCGCGGGGCGAATGCAAACACAGAGCGCGCACATTGGAAATGTGTCGATTATGCAAAAAGTGCTAATTATGCGTATTTTGTTAAACAATTTGCCAACGCATAAGCAACACTCGCACACACACACTCATACGACTCTACTTGGCAAGTTGTGTTTGCAGCATCGATGTTTAATTGCACAAACACAAACATGAACATGAGCATGCATGTATATTTTGGCACACACACGAACACACATTTATGTACACATGTACAGAATTTTGACAAATGAACAGTCCAAGCTTTTCGTGATGCGTGTTTGTTATATGCAAAAAAAAAAGCTATAGGCTTTGGTTGGGCTACTGACTGCACTGTTATTAGCACGAATATTATTGTATAATAATTGAATTTGAATTGTTTAAAACTTTTCGTTGCACTGCATACGACATCTGCAGTTAACAGTTACTGCTTCGCTCCAGCGTTGTCGCATACAGGGATGTTTGTCGCAATTATCGATAGGTAGATATACACCACGTGCAATCGAACGATTGGATTAGGAACGATTCCAGCTGCACGCATACAAATTTGAATGAAAGAAAACGCAGCAGTGAATTTAGCATTATATTTAGATAGTTGCTAGAGTTGCTAATTAAAGTTGATAAAGCCCATTTAATACACAATACAAATTAGAGTTAAGTGCCAAGTAGTCCATTTCAAAAATAGATGAAAAATAGTTTTTATGTTCCTTTTAGAACCGGCGACTCGCAGCAGTTGTTAAATGTTGTTGGCAGGCGTTGCCACCTAACCTGAATTCGTTTAACAGCACTGTGTGCAAAACTGCCAAAATGTGAACATGAGCATGTAAACATTGAATTTATGCAACGAAAAAAAAAGAAAGACTGTATCTTAACTACAATTTGGAATAAGACTTTCACAAAATATATTTATATATAGTACACATTGTGCAGAGTGCAACGTTTGATCGCAATGCTAGCCACCCACTTGCCCCCGCCCATAGATACGACTACATACACACACACACAACGAGAGAAATGCGCAATCGACGTCACACACACATGCCAAAAAAAAATCTGCTTTAGCTTCATTTCTTTAGTCCGATTTGCTTCTCGCGTAATTCCAATGGAATTTTTCACACATTTTTATTCTTTACCTTGACGAGTTTTTGTCTCGTTGCGTTTTTGTGTTATATTTCAAGTTTAGTACACACACACTCACACGCACATACACATACAGTCATACATATGCACATGTGCTTCAGCAAAAGTAAAAATACGATTATTGTTAGTATTAAGTAAATGCTTGCCTAAATTTGGCTACAAAAAAATATATATCCATTTGTCATTGCAACATTTATTGCAGTCCTTTTAAGTGTAAATGTTGCATAGGAAATGTTCGCTTTTCTGGTTGCTATGCCTTTTTATGCACATACACACACACACACACGCACACGCACACACTTAAATACGAATTGGTTTTTTTCTAACTGCTCATTTTTGATTACCGATTGCAAAATTGTAGCCAATTGTTTTGCTTTATTTGTCAGTTGATTATGATCGTTGCACTGCTTTTCCAGCGTATTTGCGTTTTTCGACAAAAAAAAAGAAACGCCAGTGAAATTGCAACTTATCTACGAACACGCGACGGGTACGCAGTTTTAGAGATGCTGAAAGTCCACAAACTTACATACCGCGCATATCGATGCCAGCAAACTATCGATATATGTCAATGACAGTGCGCACATCTTTTAGATAAGTAAGCGCGGAAAATTCAAATTTATTAATGATAGAATACAATCACAAAACAATAATATATACATTTATATATATATATATATATATATGATATTATTTTGATAATATATTCCATTTTTTTATCAACTTACAGAAGACAAGTAAAAAGTCAGTTTTTCATATTTATTTTGCATACACACAAAAATTTCATGTTTATTTATTGTTTCAATTTTCTTAACTTGTTAGCTGGTTGCATTGTGTTCAACAATTGTTGGTAATAATATACACTTAGCATTAGCATTCCGAAATACACAGTAAGCACATACATACAGATCGGATTCAATTTTCAATTTTCTTTTTATGTTGTTGTTGTTGTCTTTGGTGTTGTCTTGAAACCAAATAACATCGTTTGGCCTTAAAGTGATTCGAGTTTTGAGTTTCGAGTTTCCAGTTAGTATATTTGGTCTTTTACTTATTGGGCTTTGCAGTAGTTTGTACCTTATGGAAATATGTTTATAAGTTTATTAGCATCATATTTATCATCATGTTTTGTATCAGTTGTTGTTTTGCATTTGAAAAGACATTAAATACGTATCGTACACTCTATAACGATTTCCATTTGGTATTTTTTTTTTCGTATTAACTATTATTATTATTATTATTTATGGATTATTATACATGTATGCTTACATACATACATACTCACACACATACATATTTCAGAATATATGTATGTATGTATTTGCCGTCGTTAGTTGATGTTTTACATTTAGTACATGTATACATATATAGGTATATACATAAATATATATATTTATATATATGTATTTGTTTTTTTTTTGCATTTAGAGATTTTCGCTTTAAACATTTATAAATATGTATTTCATATTAACTGTTTTGTTTTGTTTTTTTTTTTTTAGGTTAAACATTTATTACGAGCTGTATACTCAACGATTAGTAGATTTGTATACAGATTGGTTTGGATTTATTTTTAGGGGTTGCTATGCATTTTGTTAGGATCTTAATAAACCTTTGCAGTTCTCAAAAATGTCTGCCATTTCATGCGTACAACATTTAAAGCTTGACTATTTGTTCGTTTTTTGGTTTTTGGTTTTTCGTGAGTTATTTATTGATTTTGGGGTTGTTTCCAAACTAGCCGCACATTTATTCTACAATAAAATTTCGCCACTTTGAGGGGCTTATTGACGCAACATTTAACACCTAAATATATATATATACATATATATATAAATATGTATATATATATATATATATATATGGTATGTCTATATAATTTTGTTCTGGTATTCAATTTTTTGCCCCCCAGCCAATTACATAGTCAGCGTTAATTAAAGTTAATGGTAAAAAAATCTAAAAAAAAAACATTCTCCTCTGCGGTCTTGTTTCTCATACCGATCTCATTATTTATTTATTTATGTTTTTGGCATTTTAATTATGTGTGTAAAATTATATAATTATATGCTCTTGTTGGGAGGACACTACTATTATAGTTGGGTTGCTTAGCTGGTCGCCTTGGTTAGACTTGTTTATTTTTTTTCTGTTTTTCTTTTTTTTGGCTTTATTCGGTTTGAGTCTAATATTTAGGTAAATTTAAAACGCAACCTTTTTATTATGCTCGAACTTGCAATACCCTGTAGCATGTGGAATGCACAAACGTATTATTTGCTTAATTTAATTTGATACAGGGTATTTTATAGTCGTTCGCACTCGACTATCACATTTAATGAATATAATATTTATATCTCAATTTCAATTTCGCTTTTCGATTTCGTTTCTTAATACTCATCATAACATTTGATGAAAAAAAAGCATTTAGTTGGTATTTGCTATTTCGGCTTGTTTTTTTTTGTTTTTTGTTTTTTAGCTTTTGCTACTTTCAAATTTTTGATAGCTTTTAAAATATACACAAATACTCATTGTATTTGTTTTCCACAAGATTTCATTTTCTTTTTCGTGTGTTTTTCAAATTGTGTGTTTCACATTGGACATAAATTTATTTTAAGTGTTTTTCTGTTTTCCGTTGTTTGTTCTTGTTGTTGTTGTTGTTGTTTAAAATTTAATTATTAATATATAAAAAAAATAATGTTCAGTCAAATATATATATGCATATATTTATTTGTATATATACACATATACATACATACATACATACATATGTATATGCCTGTTAACACATACGTACTATATAATAGCGTAGTTACGGATCTAAACAAATCTATAACACAGAACACATACATACACACATACGTAAATCAATCAACAATTATGAGACATTAAACAATGAATTACTATATATACTACAACTAGTATGTGTATATATATATATATATATATATATATGTAATTTACTGCTAGTTGCCAAAAATTCGATATGCTAAACTTAGTATTTAGCATATACACATACATATATATATATATATATATATATATATATGTATATATATATATATATATATATTCACATATATATATATATGCATATATATATATATACATGTATGGAAAAAGTGTCTCCCCTACGATATATCCTTACGATGATGAATTTGATACTTTTTGACCTCGTCCCTCGTCCTGCTCGTATGACAAGCAATTTGTAATCCTTTTGTTTTTTCTTGTTTTTTTTTCTTTTGTTTTGTTTTTGGTTTTGGTTTATTATGTAATACACAATAATATGTTAATAATCAGTCGCATAAATGAATCACCTTGCTTTTGGCCATGACGCACATCTCAAATAATCTCAACACACACACACACACACACACATACACTCTCGCACACACAAATAAAAACCCTATTAAAAATACACCAAAAATACAAAAAAAAAAAAACGTTAACAACAAAAAAAATGGTGAGCTTACTTGCCACTCATTCGGTATTCACATACATACTCATTTATTCATTCATTCATTCATTCATTCATTCACACACAGATTGAGTCTACTGTTGCAAGATGCGCATCTTTTTGGCCAGCGTCGTCTCAGTTTGTTGCAACTTGCGCTTGCTGCTGTAGTTGCACAGCTTGTTGGACACTTTGCTTAATGTGATTGCGGATGAGGACATTAGATCGAGGGCTTGGAGCCGGTTGTCCAGCTCATCGAGGGCGGATAGGGGCGTTGTTGTTGCCATTGTTTGATTGTATCGCTCGCCGGGATCGGCATCGATGTCGATGAGCTGATTGGCCAACGGATCCTCGTCGTAAGGATCGTAGGGGGGTCTTAATTATTGTTTGAACACAAACAGACCCGTTGGGTCCCATTCGTTATCATCGACGGGGCCGAAGCACTCATCGAAATACCATTCCATTGTCTTGTACACATGGCTAAGAGATCGGCCAATCGCATGATCCTCATCCGGATACACCTGATGGCGGAACTTCACCTGCTGATCGACAAGTGCTCGCACCAGCATCAGCGTATGCTCCTGATGCACCAACGTGTCCGCCGTGCCGTGCATCAGCATCAGATTGCGTCCCTTGATGTTGCCCGCCTTCATAGTGAGATCGGCCTCTTGCAATGCACGCAGATAGTCACCCTTCAACGGTATATACCGTTCCGTGAAGAACGAATCTGTTGAACATATATAAATATATATATATAGACATATCCCTGAACAAGTAGCAGCTGGCTGGACTTACAGTGATAGCCAAAGCTGACAATGGGATTGATGGCGATGGCGCATTGGAGCACCTGCTGGGAATCATCGATGAGCATCATGGATGCGGCATAGCCACCGTAGCCCCAGCCAAAGGCGCAGATGCGCAACGGATCAATGAACTTGAGATTGTCGCGCAAATAGCTGCAGTGATTTAATCCACAATTGGAGTTGAGTGCGCCACGATCTCGATGAATAACTTACGTGAGAACACCGAGCTGATCCTCGACCTCGACGGTGCCCAGTTTGCCATGGACCTGGGTGCGCAACAGTTCGCCCTGATAGCCACTGCCGCGTCCATCGATCTGGGCAACAATAAAGCTGCGCTGGCTGCACAGATACCAATTCCAGTCCACATGAAAACGCTCCGTGACCAGCTGCGATCCCGGCGAGGCATCGCTGCGTAAATCATTCAAATCATTTGCAATTATTACGTAAATATCAACAGCAGCAAATCAAGAATTGCGAATAGTCAATCTTTAATTAAGAATCAAGAAACTTCAATCTCAAGTCGGGCGTAGCCGACTGCCAAATACTCTGCTACCAATGATAAGAGGTCAGGTTGTGATCTTTGCGAGTAAGACTTACACATGGAGCACCAGTGGAAAGGCGACCTCCTCCTCCTCGCGCATGCCCGGCGGCAGAAAGAGTCGCACCTGGGCATGAAAGCCATGTCGGATCTCCACGCTAAATGTACGCATCTGGGGAATGGCCAGCTGGGAGAGGCGATGACGCAACACATCGCCGGCATTGAGCACAAAGATCTTCTCGTTGCTGGCCGTGCGCACCAGATAGACACTGGGCGCCTCTGGGCCGAGGCACTCCTGCACATAGTAGCTATAGTCGCGACTGAACTGCACCCGATTGTACAGACAATTCTTGGGTATGTCATAGATGCAATCATCCGGCTCCAGTCTGGCAACAATATCCTCCCAGCGTCCGCCCCGTTGCCAGTCGGCTGCATTGGTGCTGCGGGCACGATGGAGGCGGTACGTGGACTCCGTGTTGTCGCAGGTGAGGCAGGTGGGCTGCGTCGAGGTGATGTACGTGCGATTCGTTTCGGTGATGTTTAGTTTAAGGCTGATCTTGTAGAGGTGGCGCTCGCCCGGCCGCTTCTCAGGAGCAGCCATAAAGTAAACAATCTCGTGCGCTTCATCCCAGCCCACAATTTCGGTGACCTCGAAACGACCCATGGTCAACGGCACCGGTCGACGATCCAGCGATGAAATAAACACAACATGACGATAATGACCATGTTCGCCATCCCGCACGGGCAGACGCTTCAGCAGATAGCCACCGTTGGTTATCTCGTACGTTGTCTGGCCATTTGTAACATTCGCCGGATTCTCAACGGTGGTGGTTGTGGTTGTGGTTGCATCCACTCCATTCTTGCCGGGATCGCTGGCCATTGGCTCCTGCTGTTGGAACTGGAACTGACGCAACAGGCTGCCGCGCAGCTGGGCAGCGATGCGAGCAGAGAAGATGGGACGCTCAGCGGGCAGCACCCAGCCATCGTTGATGGTCACCTCGGTGTGCACCACCTGGCAGTGGAAGTGTGGTGCCCGGCAAATCACCGTTGTCGCCTTTGTCTGGTCGCGACTCGTCACCGTCACGGACAGATCGATGGGCGATGCCCAAGTCAGGCCGCCCACATAGCTGCCGTTGCCCAGCTCGGCGGGCAGCTTGATCTGTGTGGGAAAGATGTACTTGATCACCGATAGATTGACCACATTCACAGTCACATTCGGATTGCGGGCACCGGCCTTGGGATAACGTTGACTCAACACCGCCGGATACTTCACATTGTCGCCCATCCATGTGTATCTGCCAACAGACACAAAGATGCAATTAGATGTATTTAGATATATCTTTCAAGTTGTACATTTGATTGTTATCGATAATCGGTTTATATCGATAGAAAATCGATCGGCAAAATGAAATAAACTTGATCTGCATGTATGAAATACGACAAGTAAAATTTCGAATTTGGAATTTAGAATGAGATCGTATTACGCATACAGATTTCATCGATTCAGCTATTGATGCTGATCAGGAATATACGTATATATATATAAAATATATAGAAATGCTTGCAACAAAAAAATAAACCTATTTTAACCCATTCTCTTCGAGTGTACAAAAACTAAATGAAAAGAATATTTAATTCCTCTCAAATGTATTTGATTAATTCCAACGGATTGGATGGGAATATGGCAAATGGCTGTAGAAATGTTCTAAATTACCCACTTGTATTCCCTTTTACTTACCCACCTGTATTCAGTTGCATTCACAACCACTCAATGGGCTACTCACTTGTACTCGCTGACGTCGCTGTCGTTGAAGCTGAGGAAGGCTAGAAAGAGGCCGTCCGGCGAGAAGACGATGCTGCTCCGCTTGCTCTCCAGCTCGGGGACATTCTCGTACGTCCAGTCGGGCACACCGTTGTAGAAGACGCCAGCGGCGCCCGTCTGTGTGATGCGACAGACAAGTTCACCCTGCACCTTGGGCTTGTAGTAGATGTCGTTGTGGTGCACGAAGGCGATCGCCTGGTTGAGAGTATATGCCCCTGCCAACTTGCCACCATTCGCATTCGCCTGTCCGCTGCCATTCACCGTGGCAGCTCCAGTTGCGGCACCAGTTCCGGTTCCGGATCCGGATCCGGATCCGGTTGTGGGCGTCGGTTTGCCGGCACCGCCTGCCGCAGCCACGGCCAGACTATTTAATATAATGCTGCCGCTGGGCAGTGGCGACATTGTCGACTGTGCAGCACCTGTTGCGCTTGCAGTTGCAGCTGCACTTGTGGCAGGAACAGCTGCAGTTGGAGTTAGAGGTGGAGGTGGATTGATGGGGGCCCAAACCACATGCTGTAGATGGGGCGCCTCGGCAATATTCTCCGTTGGTCCCAGTGGAAATGTGTTCGCCGTTTGCACCTCATACACGTGGTGTCTATTTCAGCATCAGTATTAACCAAATTTAACAGGCTGCCACCAACTCGAAGATCATCTCAAATGAGCTACGTACCTGGAGCCTTCAGCGTTGCTGTCCGACTGCAGCAACACGTACTTCTGATCCGGAGCCACCAGAAACGTTTCAGCATTCAGTTGGCGCTGTGTGTGTGTATGAGAGAGAGTGAGAGTGTGTGTGAGAGAGAGAGAGAGAGAGAGAGAGAGAGAGAGAGAGAGTAGATTATAGGGGAATGTGTAGGAATTTACGGAGAGTACAGGGGAATGTATAGAGAAATGTTGGGGAAAATAGAGGAATATAAAAGGAATATAGAAGAATTTATAGGAATACAAAAGAAAGTAGAGAATTGCAGGGGAATATACCAGAGTATGAAGAAATATACAGAAACATAGAGGAAAATACAGGAATGTATAGGAATATAGAGAGCATAAAGAATTTTAGAGGAATATATAGGAAAATTTAGGAATTTAAAGATATATAAAATAACTTACAGAAATTTAAAGGAATATGGTGGGACGTAGAGAAATGTAGAGGAACATAGTGGAATATAGGAAATTTATTGGAAAATTGAGGAATTTAGAGAAAATATTGAGAAATACAGAGAAATGTTGGGGAAAGTTGAGGAATATAAATGGAATTTAAAGGAAGACAGGAAGGCATCCATGTACATAGATGAAAATAGAACAATACAGAGGAATTTAGGGTATATATTATCGGCTACTCACAAATGTGGAATTAGTCATCAGAATGCGAGTGGTATAGTCTGTCATATTCAGTATGGACAGACCGCCCGTTGGATCACGATAAACTAACTCGTGATCTAGAAATGTATAAATCATTAATTGTTTTGTTAAATATGATATAATTGTGTGACGAACCATTGCTCCAGGTGCCGTTGAACGGCTTCCATTGCAAACTTTTGCTGAGAATGTCGCTGGGCAACATTCGGCGACCACGGATTCGGAGTCCCTCATCTTCCGGGGACAGCAGGAATATGGAGAAGATGATCAGGCTGAAGACGGCAGCGATAACAAGCAGGGCTATGAATATGCCACGCCAATTGCGACGCTCCGGCGATATGGCCACCAGTTCCTGCAACCCCAATTACAAAATTACATTTTAATTATCAATTACTATAAATTATATTACTATTAATTGTAAATAATTTTCAAATTATATCGAATATAACCATGAGTATGTATGAATATTTTCTGAAGTATGTGAAAAACCTTTTAATTAAACAATTTCAGTTGAAAAGTGTAATTCCGATTTATATACAACTGTTTTGATTGTTCATTTTAATTAAAACTATATTTAAAATAACATATATAGATATATTCCAAAAAAATTTAATTCCTTGTATTTTGCTGTTTCATTAATCAATTCCCAAACTTTGTTACCAAGGACGCCTTAAATCGATTGCGCTAATGGGTTATTTGTTGAGTGGGTGTGTTCCGGGCTCGGGGCGCCGGACTCGAACTCCCGACTCCGGATTTTCTCTTAGCTCATTTGCCAATTGACTGCTGCACCTTGTGCTAATTACTAATTATGCTGAAGTTGTTTTGTTGCCATTGGCATCATATTAATCTAATCAACCAAATTAAAGTAGTTGCGTATCGACCATATCTGCAAACTTTTATTTATACTTTTGAAATGTATTTATTCTTTAGCAAAGACAATAGAATATTATTAAATGAAGACAATACGTACAAAAATTGAATTTAAAATGTCATTGTTTTTGAAGTTAAGCAGGCGAAAGAAAGAGTAGTGAATAGTGTATCTTATAGTCGAAAAAAAAACAATAAACATCCTTTCTACGTCTCAAAATTCGTTTTGGTTATTTTTTGTTTTCCTATTCGGACATTTGTGAACTTTCTCTATATAAATTTGTGATTGATTGCCGTTGATTGGAATGGGTAGGAACAATTGATGATAATAACGATGATGATGAAGATGTTGTTTGTTTGATTCCAGTTATTTTGCCTCTTTATCTATTTTTTGTTGTTTTAGTAACTGGGCTTGTAATACAATTTGTGATGATAGCGTTTATTGATTGATTTCACTTTTGCCAAAGAAGAATCAAAATGTAATTCAAGTTTGAACCGAACAGACGCCAATATGTGTATGTGGCATGGTGTGCATCTCTCTAAATTGTCCAAAAAATATCCAAGACAAGAGGCAGTCGTGGAATTCTCGTTTACAGTGCGAATATAAAATGCATTCAGTGTTGGCAACTTGGCAACTTGATGGGTGGGTTGGGCAAGTGTTGGGTAACAAAAGTCCTTGATGCAGCCTTAATTGACAAGCGAAATGAATTTAGGACTGCAGCTCTCACACATGCACACAGCAGTGGCAACATCACAAAACAACAAAAACAACAACTTTATAACTGAACTAAAACTATTTCCAAGCACTTTGCATGGTGGGTGTGTGTGTGTGTGTGTGTGTGTGTGTGTGTGTGTGGAACTGGGATTGCGAGTGAGTTTGGGATTGGGATTGGGGGTAAAGTTCTGGTTCAGGGCCACATCAATTTACAAGCACATTTGCCTTCCCCATTGCCCCCCACACAGAACATTTGCGCCGTTGTCACGCCCCCTTTTGAGGCGTACCCATTTTTATTTGGCTTCCATCTGAACAAATTTTGTTAGTGTGCTTTGTTTAGTGCTGAAATTGAATTAAAAATTTATATGCAATGCAGTTTTTATAGACTTTCCGGTAATAGGATTTCAGTATATAGAAGTGCATGAAATGCTAATTGAAATTATTTACGGTAACTAGCCTTGGACCAGTTTAGGTTGTCAGAATTTCAATTGGAATTAATGCTAGAGTGCTGTATTCAAGGAGTGGTTTACTATACACACATATAATCATTTAATATATTATTATTATTACCCGATTCGAAAGATTTTTAAACGTTGTCAGATAGTTTGGTGAAATGAAATTAATTAAAGTTAAATTCAGTTTTATCGTTATCTTAAAATCATTTATGATCTCATCGACCCTTTCTAGATCTCTTTCTCATAGTAGCAGAAGTATAAGAAAACTATATCTTTTTGATATAGCCACTGAAATAACAAGATTTAACTTGGATTCTAACAGTTCTTATAATTCAGAAAATTTCCAGGTATTGTTTATTGTTTGGGGATCTGTGTTTAAGCAGACGCTATTCAAAATATATATTGGAGTACATTAAAAATAATATTAATATTAACTAAAAAGTAGATATAATTTTATCTGATGATATAGTAATTATTTTATGTTGCTTTTTTCAAAAGTGTCAAAGGGACACACATTCTGTCAATGCGTATGCACTGCATTTTTGAGTAGTTCTTTAGTATAACAATAAAATGATGGTTTTTTACTTCCCCCATTTTGAACGTTGCGAGTTGCTTTTGCCACGAATGGGGGGTAGTAAAATATGCAATTTATATTTTAGCACCTAGCTACTCAAATTTTAAGTAGTAGCTATATAATCCTTACAACAGCTCACAACAGTCTTATCATTTTTGCCAAGATACACAGGACATGCTTTTATTTACCCATTTTGTTTAATATTGAGCTCTGCAATCCAAAAACTGTTTAACAATTCATAAAAGTCCGGAAGTAACTGTTGTTTTCATTTTTTGTTTTATGTTTTGCCTTTCAAATATCTGTAAGGATATAAATTGTTTGTACTGTGCAAGGGTCTATAAGTCTATATCTACCACATAAGCCAGAGATGCTAAATTTAAAGGGTACGTTTGTGATTTTTTTGAAATTTTACTCAACCCGCCTTGGAATATTTAAGCACGTTGAGGTTTTATTTGTTTTCTTTTTGTTAAGTTTTTATTTACCCAGCCAGTTGCCAGTTGCCAGTTGGCAGTTGATGACAAGAAACGTGTTCGCAATCAATGGGAAAACATTTGACTATCTAGTCTACACGTTTGTGCCACTGTTGTGTGTGTGGCATGCACCTGGCATACTGGTTCATAACAAGATTTATGGAAAACACGTTCGTCCTTATATAAATATGGCATATATGTACACAGGGCTCTGCTCCTTGTGCCACACTCAGCCTGCATCAACTATGCATGTGTGTGTGTGGGGAAAATGGGGCAGGCAAACGGTCACAAAGGATTGTTGCTTACCACACAACGTTGCAACGTTGCAAGCATGATTGCATTTTACGACTTTCGTTGCTAAGGTAGGCGCTTGTATATGGCCAAGGGCGTTAACAGAGGGGCGCGTCCCTAAAAAGGAAAATCTGAACAATTTTTTGGTGTCATTTTAGAAGAGGTATCTTTTCATTTACTCGATTACAATATGTATAATAAATTACAATTCGGTCCCCTTCTTTATGAAAAGCTGGGTACTCCCCTGTGCACGGCATTTGTTGCAACCCAAGCCAAGGCATCACTGCACTGCGAGAAAATATTTCCCTATATTAAGTAAATATATCAATATATGTGTAGCAGATTTTCTAGGTGTATTTTAAGGCTATGATGCTATGAGGAAGAATTTGATCTGATTTTATTTTCAATCATTGCAATTCTGTTTGTGCAACAGAAACAAGTGAAAATTTCAATTCTCCACTTGCCACATGCATCATTTACCACCAGCATTCTATCGGTTTGAGTTCCATACCAGTTTTGAGTGAGAGTTTCATATTTTCAGTGCAGCTCAACAATGGTGTGTTGTGCAAAAGCCTGTTGGCCAAAAATGTAATTATCTCCAGGAATGTAGATGAGCGAAAGGACTTTCGCAGAGCATCAACCGTTGTGGTTCGAAAATTTGAGCATTAACTACAGGTCTCCCCCAAGTGTCGACTCGACAATGTTGCCGTTACTTTCATTTCACATGGCACTAATTTTTTTGGGTTCTCTTTTTTTTTGTCTTTTGTTTACTATGCCATAAATAATGCCAGCCACACACAGAGAAGAAATTCGCACTCAGAAAACAGTTGAGAAAGTTGCTCACACAAATGTTGCATCTGGTCTTTAATTCTTAAGTCGTGTGTTGAGTGTTTAATTGGATTTTGCCTCTTTTTCAGCTATTACATTGTCCCAGGAGCAGCTATCTCCCTCTCTCTCTCTCTCTCTCTCTCTCTCTCTCTCGCTCTCTTTTGCTCTTTTTTGTTGTGGCTGTGGCTGCTGCCAACTAATCTGTCTGTGTGTGTGCGATAAGTTTTCCGACATTTTCAATTGTTCGCAAACATCTTGTGTGCTTCAATTTAATTTTGATTTTCTATTTAATTGTGTTGCCAAATGGCCAAATGACAATTGAGAAATAAAAACAGTTAAAGCTGAACCGAAGCTCAATTTTATTGGTCAACAGTAAATAAAACCAAACGATTCTCATACGGATTGTGTTAATGTGGTAAATGCTCTGCATTCATTTTCAACACTCACAACTTATCAAAGTAAATCACATTCCTACTTTCTATATTTATTTATAAATCAAATTATAATACCCCAGCAGAGGGGTTATAAGCTTACATAAATAAATGAATGAGTATTCACTTTGTGGTACACTTATAAAAAATGATTAGGAAATCGACATACTTTTGGCTCCAATGGTTAGTCACCCTATTATTCAGAAAATATATTTACAAAATTTATGGTAGTAGATTGTTCGAAAATGTATATATAATTTCCAGAGTGTTGTTTTCTATCTGTGTGCATTGAAGAATTTATTTATTGGCTTTCTTGTTACTTATATGTTTCATAAACAATTGCTTTTTTTGAAAAGCGACTCTTGGTTTGTGAGCTAAGTGACTTCAATTTGATTACTGTTTCTGTGAATTTTCTACTTTTTAAAAATGTTTTTCTTAATAATTGAAAATATTTCTAAAATTGCATTTTATGTTTTATACATTTTTGGTTAAGAGCAAGTCTCTCTAAGTCTTTGAAATATTTTTCTTAATATTTCCAAATTATTTCTAAAAATAAGAATAGCTTTCGATTCTTCAGGACGATTTAATAAAATTGAGAGCGGTTTATTTTCTGAGTGTAAAATTGCTTAATTAACAATATTTTGTGTATTTTGGTCGTCTGTTTAATGTATTTAATGTTCGTTTAATACAAACGAGCATTGAGTTGCGATTGGCTTGGTGG